CTAGAAAAAAAGAACACTTAAATTTCTGAATTACAGTCACAGACAAATAGAGACCTAATCAGTCTTAAAGGTTCCCTTCACAAAGGTAATATGGGTACAACTGGTGGGAAGAGCTCTAGTAGGTATGGCTGCATTAGAGATTCCTCTAGAATACAAAGAGTTCAAGGATATGTTTATAGAGAAAGTAGAGAGTGCTACCCTACTAGAACATCAACCATGGGATTATGAGATACCCCTGTTGGTGGAAAATCTGAAGTACTATGCTGGATTAATACCACTTTCTAAGAAGCAGGAGGACTTCTTAAAGGAATACCTAGATACCTACCTAGAGAAGTAATTTATATGAAAATCTATGTCACCTATAGCACATAGTGTGCTATTTGTACCAAAGAAAGACAGCAGTCTATAACTGTGTATTAACTTTAGGAAGCTTAATAATATCACCTGAAAGAACCAATATCCACTTCTACGTATAGATAAACTGCAGGACAGACTTTTAGGCGCTAAGTGGTTTACGGCAATTAACATTAGGGACACCTATTATTGAATTAGAATAAAAGAGGGTAAAGAATAGAAAATAGCGTTCAAAATATGTTGGGGACTCTATAAGTACCAAGTCATGCCATTCAGATTAACCAATGTACCTACCTCTTTCTAAGAGCTAATTAACAATACCTTATAAGAATACCTAGATGTTTTTATCCTGGCCTACTTAGATGACATCTTAATATTCTCTCAAACCTATAATAAACATGTGGAGCAGGTTTAGAAGGTGCTTAAGAAACTATAATAGAAATACCTCCTAGTGAAGCTTAGTAAGTGCGAGTTTTATAAGTATAAGATAGCTTTCCTTAGCTATCTTGTATCAGGAAAGGGATTAGCTCTAGATCCTGCAAAGATACAATCTATTAAGGAATGGCCCAGGCCACAGAATATTAAGGAAGTACAGTTGTTTATAAGACTTGCTAACTACTACCACAAGTTTATCTTGGGGTATTCTCACACAACTACCCCCTTAACAAACCTTACAAAGAAAGATCAACACTTTAACTGGATAGAAGAATATGAGTAAGCCTTCAAGGCCATTAAGGAGAAAATAACTAAAGCTCTAATACTCACTATTTTTGATCCAGAAAAGGAAGCTATACTTGAAATAGACGCCTTGGACTATACAGTTAGTATATACCTTACCTAAAAAGGGGAAGATAGAAAGATTAGGCTAGTAGCCTATTAGTCTAGAAAGATAACTAGACCTAAATTGAACTATAATATTCATGATAAGGAACTTTTGGCAATAGTAGAAGCCTTAAAGGAGTGGAGAGTATATCTAGAAGGAACTAGTTATCCTGTTTAGATCTTTACTAACTACAAGAACCTTCTATATTAGACCACAACAAAAGAACTTAACAGGAGGCAAGTCAGGTGGGTAGAAACACTTTTAGTATATAACTTTAAAATCACATATGTTAGAGGAACAGAAAACAGATGCGCTGATGCTTTAAGTAGAAGGCCTAACTATATAGAGGGAACTAGACCTGCACTAGCCTTAATACTAAGGCAAGACAGGAATAGCCTAGTATACTAGAAACCTTAAACACTAGCAACTATAGAAATACAACTAAGTGAACAGTAACACCAAGAGGTTATATACGACAGGCATGATATCAAAATAGCTGGATATCCAGGTGTTAACAAGACAATTAAACTTATAACTCAAGACTTTACCTAGCTCAGCTTAAGGAAAGATGTGGAAAACTATATTAGGAACTGCAACTTATGTGTATAAACCAAGCACAGTCAATATAAACCCTATAGGTTACTACAATCTTCAGAACTACTAGATAATATATAGACCTTAATCACAATGGACTTTATTATGGATCTACCAAAATCCACATATCCCCTCATAGGAGTGGAATATAACAGCATCCTAGTAATAGTCAAAAGACTAATGAAATGGGTATACTTTGTACCATTCTTAAAAACAGCGACAGCAATAGACTTTGCTCATATTTTTATAGAAACAGTCTTCACACAGTATAGAATGCTAAAGGAAATTATATTAGACAGAGACAAACTCTTCACATCGCAATTTTAGCAATTGTTAATAGACCAGTTAGGAACAAAACACAAGCTGTTAATAGTATTTCACCTATAGACTAATAGACAAATAGAAAGAACAAACTAAGTCCTTAAACAATATCTACAGTACTATTTAGACTATAAACAAACAAAGTGGGTTGAGTTATTACTAACAGCATAATTTGCATACAACAATTTAGCAGGAGTAACAGGGATCTCCCCTTATTATGCAAACTATAGAAAACACCTAAGACTTTATGACCACAAACTGGGTATAAAGCCAGTGGCAGAAAAAGCAAAAATATTAGTAACGCACTTACAAACAATGTATTAACTACTTAGGGACAACTTACAGGAGATTCAAGATAAAACAACAAAATATATAAACAAAAAGAGAACTAGAGGACTAGTCTTCTCAGAGGGGGAGATAGTTTACCTTCTACAAAAAAACATAAAAACACAACGACCAAGCTCTAAACTAGATTACACTAAGCTTGGACTGTTCAGAGTTAAGGAGAAATACAGACTAGTTACCTTTAAACTGGAACTCCTAAAAGAAATAAGGATTCATAATATATTCTATGCTTCCCTACTAGAACCAGCCCCAGGAAAATAGTGGCTAACAAAGGAGATAATTAATATTGACAAAGAATTGTAGGAGACACAACATAACAAGAAAGATGTTAATAAAGTTATAGGCTATAAATTTGTTAATAATATCCCATACTATTTGGTACACTAGAAAAACAGTCAATATCACGATAATACCTGGGAACCCCAAGGGAGACTCACTATTATACAGATCTAGAAGTACCACTAATATTACCTATCTCTAAGGGACTAACACTAGGCCCAGAGAAATCAGGGGATATAAATATCAGAGGGTCCCCCCAAGGTAACACCTGATTATTAAAACCTACCACTAAATTAGTAGGCAGACTATTAAGCTTATCAAGAAGGGATAGCTCCTGACAGAGTATCCTTAACTGGCTCTTGGTGTACCTATCAATCTAGGACTGCAAGTTAATTTCTTCCTACTAGGCCTTCGCTAGTTTAGTGTACGCCTGAGCAGTAGTAGCAGCTAGACAGCCCACTTCAGTACGCTTCGCTTGCGCCTTTTCTTTTGCTTCGCGTTTTTTAGCCTTAAGGGTATTGAACTTCAGCTCTGAGAATTTCCTATTGCATCAATAGTTGTCCTAGTGCTTATAGGTAGAACACCGCTTGTGACCCTTAAGGATAAAGCATGGTGAGTTCGAATTCTGACAAGGGGTGCAACGGCCCATTTCTAACAGCTTGAAACTAAGAGCTCTGATTTTTAAAGCAGCAGTTTTGCGATGTTCGGACGAGGTCTTACTACGTTTGGTGGTACGGTCACTAGACATAGTGAGCTATAAAGAATAAAGAACAAAACGGGCGGACACTGACCTTATATATATGAGGACGCAATAGACTGGGAGGGGGAAAGTGTTATAACCCAGGCCACTGTGCGACCTGTAGGCTACCGGTAACGTTCGGCCTGAAGACATAGGGGAAGGTTAGCCGACCCTAAGGGAAGGTATACATCACGTGACCTAGGCACTAGGCCTGATGGGTATAATAGGTCTACTGGGGCCCTAGTAGGCATAGTAGACGCAGCAGGACCTAGTATTACATATCTTTACAGGACTATATAGAGGGACGACCCGCCCCGACACTAGGTAGGACTCTTGTAGTCAACTTCGTATATTGATTCGCTCTATACATTGGTAGTACAACTGCTACTATTAGTTCCTACGTTTACTTTGGCCTAGCCTTGACCCTGATACTATCCCCCCAGCTGCTAAACCCAGTTTGGACCCGACGCTTGGAGCGGTTCATAACAGTGAGTTGCCAAGGCAATCTGCAGCTCGTCACCAATCCCACCACTGGTATTAATGGAATCATCTAGAAGGCGGAGTTGTAAAGCAAGACCACCTTGGACGCATGATGTCTCACACGCCGAAGCCTAACACCATATCAAGACCAGCCAGGACGCCTATGTCTAGGGTCCTCTAGGTACTGATAAGACCTTGGTTGCGAAGGCTAATGCGAGGGTCATGCATGAAAGTAGGTGCTGAAGCCTCTCCACTGAAAATCCTTTAATCTGCCGCACGATCATTAGCATTTCCAACGATAGTGTGGACCATGCATTCCACAGCCTCTCAGAAGCCGCTGATGGAAGTCACGCCATCCGTGCAGGTGCACAGTCAAAAGATGAGCGGATTGACCAGTACTGATACATTCAAACCCGTGCGCAAAAAGTACTCCGAGGTCATGAAGGCCCAACACAAGCATTTTATCTCGTACTATCTCCAAGTTGACACTAAGAACAATACGAGTAGGCCCCAGCTTTTCGCACCCTCCACCTTCAGGCATGTTTCAGACGCCGTCGAAAGCCACCAACTTGGGATTATTTACATGCCTCCTCACGTCCAGGCTGCGGACCATAGATCCATCAAGACAGTGAGAGACGCAGAAGCTGCCGAGGACATCGTCATGCAAGATGCTCATCGAGCTGCCGTTAGTGCCCACAAGTTAACCGGGAGGATGACCACTCAGGTGAGATTGCGGTTTCATCGTCGTCTCTGCGATTGCTGAGCATCGTAGCGGTCCCTCCGTTCTTCGAGTCCATCAACCCCTGTTTGAGAACAACGAGCTCCTTCGCGGTCTGTGAAGTCATGAAGTATCCTCAACCATATCCCGACGAATTGCAGCGCAGGGAAAGCGATCGGAGGCGCAACTGCGCGAGCAAGAACGATTGATCATCCAACGGCAGGGTTGTCTCCCTCTTCACGGGCCGTAGGCTCGGGGATGATAGTTTCAAGGGTATGGACAGTAGCAAGTACTAGTACCGATGGGTACAGCAAAATCATGGGTTGAACGATGCAGAGCTCCAAACTCTACTTCTGCATGGATTTTATAATGCCCCCAGCGTCGGCAAACTGTAACTCATCTAGCGTTTCCTCCCACAGCCTCTGCATAACCCCCTTTCCCTCGTCAGTATACAACAAGGGTGGGAATCTATGTATCATCAGTGATCCATCTCCTAGGCATACAGTGGATGGAGAACTTACGGTCGAATTTCGGCGTCCATAATAAAGCAACCATGTGACTCTTTGCCTCGTGAAACTGCGGCATTGAGGTATATATGCGCTGCATCCTCGACAGTTCGCGAGATCGATCCCGCCACGGGGAGCACGATTGTTTGAACGATTTTGGGAAGATCTCGTCCCAAACTCGTGCCTTTGGTACCTCCCGGATCTACCAGGTTGATGACCACGTCGTCCCGCGACACATAGTCGACCAGCTTGTATACGAACATGTGCCCAAGGAGTTTCGACGTGGCGTACGACTCCAAGCCTGAAAGACCTGTCTTGGGATCGTCGAAGGATTTGAGGAGCGGCACACTCGATCTGTTTGCAAACTTGGCTGAAAGCACCGTGCCCGATGTGACAATGGATATGCGTCCGGGGCGGTCTGGCGAGGCCCGCGCTCTCATGATGGGAAGCAGCAGTACCGTCAAGAGCATCGTAGAGAGGTAGTTGACCTGCAGGTTCTCCTCGTGCCCCGTGTGGTTGATCAGATTGAAGTTGAGCTTGGAGCAACCTGCGTTGAGGATGACGATGTCTAGCTTGGGGAGCTGACCATTTGCTTTCTTGGCAAACCCCTGGATCGACTCGTAGGAGCACATGTCCAGCACCCAAGCATCAATGGTTGCCGTCGAGTACTCGGCTCTGAGCTTCGAAGCTGCATCTGTGGCGCGCTGTTGGTCGCGTGATGTAATGATCAAGTGGGAGACTTTAAGAGAAAGTAGCTGTCGGGCACACTCATATCCAATGCCAGTGTTGGCGCCAGTGACGATAGCGGCCTTGCTATGCAGAGTAGTGCCGGGTGTAGGCGCTGGAATCTTGTTGTGACGGATCTGGGACGTAAGGTAAATGCGTGTCCAGGACGCAGTGAGGGGCGCGAGATCTTTGGATGCCATGTTCACAATTCACCCGAGGATTTGATATAAGAGAACTGAACTTGAGCCGACGACGAGGAGATACTTCTGTTCTTATATCCCCGAGGACCGACGACCATCGTCGGCCGGAATGCAGTGCCGGGCTGGTCATCAAAAAGCGCGGAGGTGACAGCCTTTGCCCAATGCGGTAAATGATTCTGTCCACGTCCCTCCAATCACGCCGCAGACAATTATGGGTCATCCAACGGAAAGCGCCGACTGGCTCGTGGTCAGGCAATCAAATATCATGCTTGGCAGACGGACTTATCGGACCACCAGCCATCAGTGCTCTCTCTCATCGAAAAAGCCTCCTTGACACTGCCTTATGCAGCGCTTGCTATCATTATGGTTCCAGACAAGCCCAGCCGTAAGTTCCGGGCCCATCATGAGCGAAAATGAGATGACTACTGACGCACCAGCAGATTATCAGTCGATCCTTTTCATCGAGGAAGGCGACCGTGATCCACGCACGCGCCGGCTGATCAAAAGCCATGTTATGCTTGGAAAGAATCGGCGAGCTAAGAAAGCTCATAAATCCCGACGCGCCGGTGCAGTGGCCAAAGTAGCTGCACATGGTATTCCGCCCAAGATAAGCTGCAGTGCCCCTTGGGGTGCATTAACCAATGATAGCCACATCGATCCCCAAGTCGTGGTCGACGTGATCCAATGTGCGTCTTCTGCTGCCACAGCTGATACCTCAAAGCCCTCGTACTCACGTGGATGTTTCATAGGCGCTTCTGCGATCGGCAAGGCCCGGTATCTTCTTGGAACCTGCCTCCCTTTCCTACCCCTCGATCGCAGCTACATCGAGAGTCTCTGGCAAGATCCCTCACTTTTCCAGACCGCCGTGATGATGGCGGAAACGTACTTCCAGTTCATGCGAGGCGAAAAGGACCGTTGTCGAAGCTTAATGCAGGTCTCGAAGACCATTCAGATCCTCCGCAAGAAGCTCTCACTGGCGGACGAGTCAGAGCAGATCTCGAACCAAACTCTCTTCGTTGTTGGCTGCCTCGCGAGCTATGCGCGTGTGCTTGGCGATGACGACGCGGTTCGACAGCATCTCGAAGGGATCCGTAGGATAATTGGCTTGAGGGGTGGCATGGAAAAGCTTGCCGAGACGAAGCTATTCGTGGAACTTCTTAGGTAAGTTAGCCGCAGACTAAGAGAGTTCCAGAATAATTACTTACACGCCTGTTTGTGTTTAGGTGCGACTTGGGATTGGCGCTGCATACAGGTACGAAGCCGCTGTTGATGGGTCGTGATCAACGCTTCTCGGCACACCCTCTCTACCACGATACGCTTGTCACAGACACGGAGGCCTTTCTCAATCTCGACGGTCGGGTAGCTCAGGCATGGAAGTTGATGGCGCGCTTCTGCTCTTTGGTCAATCTCGCTACTGAAGCCCATGGCCTGATCCCGTGGGACCTGTTCCTGCATACGATAACATCGGTCATATCTCCGCTACAGGGTATTGGCTTCATCGCCGAGTCGTTCGACGAAGTAGTTCGTTTGGCTCTCTTGGTGGTCTCTTCTCATGTCCTCCTGCAGTGGAATTCGATCAAAGTGCCATTTGATCACTTAAGAACTGCATACCGGGACGCTATTCTTCACAGCGGCGCTCTGCACAGTGCCACATCGCAGACGAGATCCTGGTTCTTAATGATCGGCGCCGTCACGGTATTCGCAGAGGCAGACAACCACTGGTTGAGACCTAGACTAAAAGCCCAGCTCAAGAATACAGGAATCGAGTCATGGGCCGAGATGCGAAAGATCTTGAATTCATTCTTGTGGGTTAACGTCCTACTGGAGTCCCCGGGAAGGAAGATCATCTGTTCACTACTCGAGGGAGACGACAGCTAGAAGTCGAAAAGCTGCCAGGTCTTCGTCTTTGATGTAACAGAGTTATGCATCAGGCGATGGACGAATGGTCTCAATTGGCAGTCCAGTCAGACAAACCTCCAATCTTTGCTTGACCAAAGGATGAACCGCAGTCAAGGAGAATTGAGTCTCGCCCTCTAAGGTTCTTTCCTCGCATGATAGGTGCATCCTCAGCACCTCACACGAGAGGAGCCTCTTGTGTAGGTAGAAGGCCCCGCCCCGAGCCAGTCCTTACAGCTGTTGTAAGGACTTCTCGGTCATAGCATGGTCATGCCGCCCGGGAATCTTGTCGATCTCTTCATCCCTACGACCACTGGTAGCAGTACCGTGATCAAGATCGTGCCATTTCCGCAAATCGGCTTGGAATGTTGGAAGCGTGACTCGACAGCTTTCGACGCTCAGTGCGAAGACCAGGAAAATGAGGCTGATGACGAGAGGGAACCGGAGCTGGTGTGTCACATTCTGCAGGGGTCCGCTTGCAACATAGTTCACCCAGACCTGTTACCCACGTTAGCAGAGACCAGCACAAAGGAAAACGCTTGACTGTACTGTAGCGCACGACAGGACCAGCTGCATCCCGAACCACCGAATCTCGCTACCGACCGGTATCATCTCCGAGAACAACACACGAAAGGAAGCGTTGACAAGCGAGCCTGACGTCTGGAAGATGAACAGTTGCACGTAGAACTCCCACCGATTCTGGGCAGGTGTCAGCAGAAACTCTTTGCCACATGGCTCAACCCACCTTGAATCCGAAGTTCGCACTCGAAAAACCTATGCATGCCCACACAGGAATAACAAGGATCAGGGCGTATCCAATAAGCAGCCACATCTCGAGTCCCATCCGAAAGTATGGGCGTATCCAGAGGAAAGCCAGGGTACAGCCCATGAGGAATAGGCTTTGAGCGAGGGAATAGAGTGAGAACTCCAATGTGCTCGGTCGAACCTCAGCTATGAATAGCTGGCTAATGACGGAGCTGACGGCGAACGTCGAGTCCGTGTAGATCGTATACGAGACGAGGATGGCTGCCATGTTTTTGCGAGTGAGTAGGTCTTTGAACGGCATGAAGACTGCCCAGGTTTAGCCAGGGATGTGATGTACTAGGTAAACGACGGACTTACATTCGATTAGTGGCCGGCTCCAGCCTTCCAATTGCGATGCAGGCCTCGATGGAATGGCAGGCAGTCCGTAATATGCGACAGCCGCACCAGCCACAGTGATGAAACCGACTATCGTAGAGACGAGTAGACCGCTGTGCAGCTTGTCAGTGCTCCACGCCTGAACAGCTGCATGAACTCACGAAGACTGTGCTGCCGTGCCAGACAAGGTCACGGATAAGACAATCACGACCACATAGACCACGATTCCACCAACTCCATTTGCAACCATTCCAAAGACGGACATATTGAAGCCATACTTCCTTCTAACGCTCCCCATTGCATCGGGTGAGGTTGGTGGCGCGTCTGAGGCGTCGCTTTTGTCTGTAATGTGTTCTTGGCGAAGATCTGTCCTGTCGACGTCCGATGTCGTTGCGGCTCGCATGCAGTGTGGGATGTAGATGTTGAGAAGGGCGATCAAGATTAGGGTCACGATGTTGAAGAGTATATAGAGCCCTGTCAGTGTCTGGAATTGCTTATTGGTAGAATCTTGGAGCCAATATGCTGGTAGAGAAATAGCGCCGTAGCAAATGATGAAGAATGTAACGAGAAGGTGTTTCCGAGCTGGCAAAGGTCAGATAGACAGCCTCTGAGAGTGCATTGATCCTTACACCAGAAGTCAGAGTAGGCTGACAAGAATAGAGTGAGGAGGCCTCCGAGCCCGAATGCAAAGGCATTCAAATAGAGGAGGACTGAGTTCAAATCCAGCTGCGATCCGGCCCAGTTGACCATACAGTATGTGGTGCATGGCAGTCCGTCGAGATCAGTTCCGATTAGGTATCCGACTACCTGTAGCTGGTACAATACGTAAGTGTTGAAGACAAAGAATGGGAGTCCAATCAGAAACTGGCAGAACAGAAAGCTATGGAGGGCTGTGTCCCCGGTCCACCAAGTGTACAATAAGCCTACCAGGAAAGCCATTGCCAAGTGATATACCCCTCGAGCTTGAGGACTTGCTCGACGTATATGTGTATGTCCAATTCTTCTGACGTGTGAATGCTAGATGAAAGCACTAGTCCGCGATAGTACTCTTTCCCAAAACGTGCGTCGTGAGCCTAACCTGGATTGACGGACCTGCCCAAAACGGTCGCGTCGATGAGCAGATTTTGAGCAGAATGAGCACGTTTTGTCCGCAGCATGAAAAGAGCACGCCCCAGCTTCTTCTCAGACAGCCAATAGGGTCTACAATACGCCATCGGAGTCTTCAATGTCCGTACGACTTTCGTGAGGTGGACTGTGGGAACTGAATAGGGGATCAACTGTGCCGTAGTAGAAAGACCCCGCCTTTGCCGGCGAATCTTGGCACGAGGCATCTCGCTGTCGGCGGCATTTGTCGACCCTAGCTTCGATCGTGAGGTGGGAGCAATGGCTATGCGTTAGACATATCTATCTTTAGATATCCGCCAGCCCTCCTTGTTCAATAACGTGAAGCTCTTATCTGGTATCTAGCATCCGAGAGCTCCCTGTCTGGTAGGTCAGCCATGAAGTAGATTTTTTGCAGCAATCAACCGGCTAACAGCTCTCTTCCATGGCCATTGTGAGTTGTTTCGTCCCACTCGCGCACGAGCTGTGCATTCACGGTTCGACAACGTTCTGCACCGCAGTTGAAAAAGCTCTGCCCTGCATCAGAGCTCGGGAGGGCGCAGCGATACGGTGCAATGGAAACAATCGACGTCTGTCCATCGGCGAGGCATACTTAGCCCACCGCCCATTTCAGTTTGTCTGGAGCGAGCCTTGATGGTAGAGAGATATCGTCAATGATCTCGAAGCTGGCAGAGCTCAGAGGTGGATCATCGACATCGCAGTGGTGTGAGCTCTGAGAGTTGTGTTACCGAAGATAAGGTCCCATCCTCGCTCTTGTTATCTCCGCAGCAATCCTACTTGAGACCCGGATCTGGCTGTAAAGACTCAGGCGTGGGAGAAGCACCGCGGGCATCTGTATCTGCATAGGAGGAGCGAGTCGCTGGTCGGAGTTCGGCGCAAGCCAGTTTGCAAAGGTTAGCAAGACATTCAACGCACAGGGAATGCAAGTTGCTCCACGAACAACGCGAAAGGCGCGCAAAATGTTCCGCGAACAACGCAAAAGCCACGCAGAGCGGAGCACAGTGGACTTAGGTTGGGCCACTCGCAAGCGTTAGGGGACACTTGACGCCTCTCGGGCGACGTCAAGGGGTGGGGCAAGACCCTGGAGCCCTGCGATATTTGTGCGTTGCCCTTTGTCGTTATATAAACGCTTCACGCAGCCCTGTTAATAGCATAGCTATATCTCACACCGCGCTCAACACATTCACCGCACCATAAAACAAACACCAACCTCGACATCAAATTCACAACATCCTCTTCATCCAACATGGGTCCTTGCACATGCACCGGTCCTAGCAGCTGCAACTGCGGCTCTAGCTGCAACTGCACTTCCTGCGGCGTAAGTTGCCATCACACATAGCACTCGGGCAACTTTGATACTAACACTATACAGGAATAAGTTTTGAACTGGCCGAGGAGATGACTGGCGATCGCGCATGGGCAATACGGTCGTTAGAGGGGAGGGCAAACACGTCGATGGTACCCGTGCAGGGACCGCTCTGTTCATCCCTCACAAGGCGAATCGTGATAGAGCCTGAATACAATTCTGCCTGAAAAAGTACGCGTCCAACGCGCCTGATTTCGTGACTATTCCCGCTGATCGTAAATAGTGCATTGCCTCAAAACGCAGAGGACCCGTGAGCCATGTTGCAATGGTCAGCCTGTGTTCCAGTTCGAGCAGTTTCCGCGCCCACCAATTAGCACATTCCCCGCCCAAGTCCGGGATCTTCTCGGCAGTGCGCTAACCACAAGCAATGCAGTAACTTGCAGGACTTTCTTGCAAGCAAACATGTACAAGCCACTGCGAGCCGTTCACTGTGTGCGCTTGATCATAAGTTGCCTAGGAGATCCTCCTAATCATATGCGCACGGACGCCTGTGATCGCAACGTTGGAGGTGTGGAGCAGTGACCTAAAGCGCCGAGCTGCTCGCAATCGAGTCTGGGGTCTCGCTCCCCATAATAGTTTCCAGGCACCTCGTCCCAGCTACACCGAACGAGCCTAGTCCTGTGTCTCCGTCTTGATCATTGCACAAGACACTGAACTACTAAGGTATGGAAACCATTTAGGTTGGCTGTCTAATCGCATGAACCTGGCTGCCGGTCAGGTTGCTAAGAGCGGTTAGTCGACTGCCGCTCTACCATACTCTTGCTGCTGTAAGCCGCTCCAGACGCACTAACACGCTCGTAGCCACAGCGGATACGTAGAGCGAGTACGGAGTATAAGGACAGCATTGTTCTGGACGCAAATGCTCTGCCCTGTTCCTCAGCATGGCTCGCATCCACTTCTACTACTGCCCGGGCTCCTGCTCCCTAGCATCACACATCCTCCTGCACGAGGCTGGCGTCCCCTTTTCAACCACCAGCCTCAGCGTTGCCAAAGGATTTCCAACCTCCTTCAGCCACGTCAACCCAAAACTCCGCGTGCCTGTCCTGACAATCGATGATGAGACGATCACCGAATCCCCAGCAATCATGCTGGCCATCTCCCAACTCTGCCCGGACAAGCACCTGATGGGATCGACTGACCTCGAACGCACTCGCGTCCTTGAATGGATGAACTGGATCTCTGGAACACTCCACGGACAAGGATACGGTGGCTTGATACGTCCCGGCCGTTACCTGGATGACCCTGCTCTACATACAGCGATCAAGTTCAAGGCTCGCCAGACCGTTAAGGACTGCTACGACCTAATAGAAGGACAGCTGGTGTCATGTCACGCCGTCGGTAATCGCTTCACGGCTGTGGATGCCTATCTGTATGTGTTCTACCGCTGGGGGTCTACCGATGGCTTTGAGATGAAGCAATATCCCAGATACACAGCACTGGTGACTGAGTTGTACCGACGACAGGCCGCCAAGCAGGCGGTGGAGGTGGAAGGCATTGATCCATATGTAACGGCTTCTCTATAACAAGGCTGCAGCACGCGGACATGATTCCATCTGTCCCAAAACTTCGAGAGATGCCCTTAATGACAGCCCTTGCACAGATCTAGCAAAAGCAGTCTGCCATCTAGCTGAGAGCTCCTTAGTACTGGCATCCTCCAAACCTCATCCTTCTCATTGCACCGTGCGCGACACTCCCCAGAACATGGTGCGGATCTCCGCATCCAAGCCTCTGTCCTCTGCTTCTGCCCATTCACGCCTCACCAAGGCAGCATGCTTCTTACTCCTCGGCGTGATCTTGCACGGGAACGGCTGACTTACCGTTCCACTACCCTTATTCAGGGTGGCAGTCGTGAAGTCGAGTTCGATGTCCCGCCCAAACTCATCCGTCGCCAACGTGAGGTCAAATCCATGTAGAATCCGAGCCACATTGATGAAGATACTTTTCTCTGCGACATGAATGCCAGCGCAGATCCTCCTTCCGGCCCCATAAGTGTAGTGATCCCTCTTGCTGGGCTCCGCAACAGCGCTCTCCGCAGCAGTCAAGTCCCAACCCAGGTAGCGCGCTGGCTCGAACTTTTCTGGCTCCTCCCACGTGTCAGAGTACTGGATAGCCCACATATTGATCATCACCACAGAGCCTCTCGGAATGAACCATCCCTTGTACCAGTCATCCTCGGTATTCATGTGATTGACTCCAAACTTATTGACCGGCCGCATGCGAAGGATCTCCTTGCACATAGCGCGAATATAAGGCAGATTAGGCTCATCAGAGAACGTTGGTAGGCGGTCCGAGCCAACCACTGCATCTAGCTCTTCGTGTGCACGCCTCTGAGCTTCGGGATTGGACAGCAACAGCTTGACAAAATTGTTCAAGGCCGCTGAAGTCGTCTCAGAACCAGCCTCTACGAGGCCACCACAGAGCCAGGCTGCTTGGACATCATCAATGGATTCATCGTACTTGTTCAGTTTGCGAGCCTCCATGAAGTCCTTTCCAAAGCAGTTGCTGACCGTACCAGACGCAACATCAGCCTGCATCCGCTGCCATAACCGCCGAAAGACGCGATTGTCGGCCTCGAAGAACGATCTGCCGACCTTACGCCATGAGCTGATGAAGTCGAAGAATCGTGATTCCGCCAATGAAGGAAAAACGTCCACAAACCACTCACCCGGCCGACGGACCTGGACGAAACGGCCGAGAACCTCAAAGATCTCCTTGATGTCTTGACAATCCCACTGCGGTATACGACGGCCGTACGTGATTTGGAAGATGACACTAGCCGCGTACCGCCGATTGTGCATGTAGAAATCGTCCGGAGTTTCCAGCAGGTCAACCATGAGTTGTTTGGATTCAAAGTCCTGGATGACCGAGTAGGCTTCGGCATTCTTGAGGGTCAGAGTGCGGTGCATGATGTTACGAACGGCTCTCCAACGCTTGCCATAAGGCATGAAGGTGACTCGGTTGCCCTTGAATGATCAGCTTCTGCTGAGGGAACACTGTCATCACTTACCCCGGTGGCGGCATCAAGAGCCATTGGCATCGGCTGTCGACTGGAGTAGATGGCAGACCTCCGGTCAAACAGTTCCTTGACTGCCTCCCTCGAGTTCAACCAGATGAAATCCGTCACGCCACTGCGAGTGCGGAATACCTCGCCATACTCTCGAGCCCACTCCTTGAGCATGTCTGTAGGATCATCTTTGACTTGCATGAAAGTATGATTGATGAGGGGCCATGCTTTGACCCGTGGCGGCAGGTGTTTCCGCCGCGCATCGCGCCTGACGATGGTATAAGTGACTCCGGCAAGCAAGCATAAGATGACAAGGTACAACCACAGACCAAGGTGTGGTAGCTCAACGACGTATCTGGGGTCCATTGTTGTGTAGCGATCTCTCGAGTACCTACCATGGCTCATGCGAGCAAAGGACTCACGTTGTTGAATGCCATGTGGGGCTTGCGTGCTCCCCGTGGGGTAGGAATGAGATCCCCAACAATGCCCTCCGCAACATTACTGCCGAACCGCGTATTTTCTTGGCATGTTCATAAGCGAGAGAGGAGGTGGCTGAACTGGAACCATAGACCGAGATCAATGCTGTTGGTATCCGTTGAACAGCATCGAGATTGGACGGAAGAAGATGTTCATGCAGATCCCCAAACTCTTGACTGCTCCGTCTCTTCGTACCCCAACTCAACACGAGGATCACCTGCTGAGATTAACATATAACATGACCCACAGCATACGACCGGCACCTCAGCCAACATCAACTGTCACCGTAGCAACTACCTTTCGAAATGGCCACGCCACTGGAAGAAGCCCCTAAGCTTGAAGCCGCTTTGCATGTCGAGGTTCAAGAGGATGTGAAAGACCATGAGCCGGCGGTCAGCACTGTTGCGGCAAAGAAGCTTGGACGAAAGATCGATTGGCGTCTGCTTCCCATGCTGTCCTTGGTGTAAGTGAGCCGCTGTCCCGCGGCGGATAATGCTGACGAACAGATACTCGCTCTCCATCATTGACCGCATCAACATTGGGCACGCCAAGGTGGTTGGAATGGAGCAAGACTTGAAGATGACTGGCAACCCAGCGGCATACTCGATTTGTCTCTTGGTCTTCTTTCCGGCTTACATGCTGTACGTCCCGTAAGACTAGGAGATGCATCACTAACGACTCCAGTGCCGAGCTTCCTGGAAATATGGCTCTGGTCAAATTCGGAGTTGCCCGGACTTTGGCATTCTTGATGCTGGGCTTCGGTGTCTCGACGATTGCGCAAGGTCACGTCCAGCATTGGTCGATCCTGGCAGTATGCCGAGTCCTTGTGGGCGCATTCGAAGCTTCCACGTTTCCCGCAACCGTTGTTCTGATTTCGGCTTGGTATAAGAGATATCAGGCTCACCAGAAACTGGCTTTGATGTACAGCATTGGAATCATCGCATCTGCATTCGCTGGAGTATTAGCATATGCATTGGCGCTGATGGAAGGTCTGGGAAATCTTCGAGGTTGGCGATGGATCTTCACTGTAAGCCGGATACATTTGCTCATCTGCAAACTGACCCTCCATAGATCGAAGGCACAGTGACGGCTGTGTGCGCTATCCCAACCCTGCTATTCGTGGTGGACTTCCCAGATAGGGCCAAGTTCCTCTCACTGGAGGAGCGGACGATTCGTATGCAGCAGCTGAAGGCCGACAAAGGTGACGTCGATACGGAGCAGATTTCATGGAAGAACTTGAAGGACTTGAAAGGTCGGTGTCTCACAAAGGTTGCTCAATCAGACTAACGTAACCAGATTGGAGAGTTTGGCTGGTGACATTCATGTACTTCTGCAACGTCTGCATGGTGTAGGTCGATCATCTCTTGTGAGACTGTGCTGACCGCTTCAGATATGGCATGGGTTTCTTTGTCCCAACCATTTTGACAGGGCTGGGGTACAGTGGCCTTCAAGCCACGCTCCACAGTGCACGTGAGTTTATCTGCTCCCACATAGCTGCAACTCACACAACTAGCGCCGTATCTTGTTGCATGTGGTTTCTTGGTGAGTTCAAGTATAGCTCCATGAGGGCCCCGCTGATTCGAGCAGTGGTCCAGTTCATTCCTGGCTGATCACATCCATCGCCGGTTACCGATCATCATCTTCCAGGGCTGCGTCGGAATCGTTGGTCTCGGTCTGGTGTCACAGATCCATCTAACGCCAGGAACTCGCTACGCAGGTCTATGCCTGTGTGTTTCCGCTTGCCAATCGAATAACTCTGCGATCCTCATCTTTGGCCAGAATAACATTGTTGGATCAGCCAAAGCCAACCTCGTGGCGGTTCTCAACATAGCAGGAGGTGTCGTGGGCGGTGTAATTGGCAGCACGGTATACATGGCTAAAGAAGCCCCGACCTATAGCACTGGACTGGCGATCACGATGGCTCTCCAGGCATGTCTGATCCTGTGTTGCATTGTTGTTTGGCCAATCAACGTCCGCGGGAATCGGAAGGCAGAGCGCGGCGATATTGTGATCAATGGCATCGAAGGTTGGAGGTGGACATTGTGATATTGGAGACTACAACTTCGGAGCTAATACCCGAGAACCAATATCGTCGACAACGATGTTTCGAAAATCTCGCGGGAGCCATTCTCTCAGAAGGTTGCCAGCCCCATGATTCTTGGACAGCTGTGGGAATAACTGCTGCTCCGAAATGTCCAGGGATGGAGACTCAGATAGCTCGACCAATGGCTTATGAGGCGACTCAGTCTCATCCATATGCAGAACAGGTGCAACACAGGCGTCGGTGTGGTCGAAGATTGCTCGCCATTCTGCCAGCGTTTTCTGTTTGAATTTGTTGGCGAAAATTGTCTTCAAAGCAGGCCAGTTAGTACGCTCATTGCGGTCTGGAAGCTCCGAAGAGTTCATGCCAAGGCCAGTCAAGAGCTGAGCGTAGAATTGAGGCTCTTGTGCACCAACAGTAATATACCTGTCATCTGCCGTCTTGTATACCTCGTAAAATGGAGCCGCACCATCCAGCAGATTCTCGCCCCTGGGTCTGTTCCAAGCAGGTTGTGTGAGATGCTGCCGGGGCATCGTTGCCAGATATGCGGCCCCGTCCACCATATTGGCGCGGACGACTTGTCCTCGACCTGTCGAGCTTCGATGAATAAGCGCAAGGAGAATTCCAGTAACAAGGACGTGACCACCTCCGGCAAAGTCTCCAAGGATATTGCCAGGGGGAGCGGGAGCTTCATTCTTACGGCCAAAGAGCGAGAGGACTCCGGATACGCCGAGATAGTTGATGTCATGGCCGGCACGCTGACCATAGACCAGGCTGTCTGCTCTGTACCCGGAAAGCTGAGCATATATCAATCGCGGGTTCGAAGCGCAGAGTACATTGGCGCCAACACCTAAGCGATCCAGTACCCCAGGTCGATAGGGATCAATGACTATGTCAGCAGCGTTGGCGAGACGCAGGAAGACATTTCGAGAGCTGTCGGATTTCAGGTCGATGACTATGGATCGCTTGCCTCTTACAAGCGAGTCTTTGGGACCGAAGACTTCGCCAGGGCGGTCAACACGGACAACATCACAGCCATAATCAGCAAGAATGAGACCGGCGAAGTTTGACGGAGCTAAGCTGTTCGAAGGAGAAATCAGTAGACGTCGAAGTGCGGCGCGTGCACGCTCTTACCCCGCCAACTCCAAGACTGATTAGTCAGCACATGCTCGTATTGGGGAGCCTTTCGACTTACCTCTTAATCCCTTGAGTGGTGGTAGAGACATTATTCCGCTTGAGCACCAGTAGCTGCTCTCTCGAAGGAGCAGGAAATATGGACCAGAGGCTGCATGCTCGCAAGCACTCCCCCGACGCGTCGCTTGCATCCCCACACGTTACCCCAGGACCCCACATGTTGTGCCTCACGTCCCACCGTCTCCAATACAGGCTCCGGCCTGGGGTAGTGGTGCTGTACTCAGCATGGCCATCTCACGGGTGTTTGCACGTACCACTTGAACCTGCTCAGACGACGCCATGATCTTCTCTTCGCCATTCCAGATCGAAATTCCTCAGCAGGATCTCCTCAGCTTCCTTTTCGCTTCGGACAGATTTCAGGAGGATGATGCGGTCTGGCTCAGCCCTTCCAACCCGACAGTCACAGTGACGAAAGGCAAGGCACGGCAGCTAGCACAGCAGATCGGATACAGCCTCCGATCTCGCGGCATTGGCCAGCATCGTCCAGGCCACGATGTTGTCATCCACTTCGTCGAGAATCAGGTCATGATTGCACCCACAGAGTTTGGCACATTGTGCGCCGAAGGTATATGTGCAACATGTCCGCCGACCGCCACGGCTTTCGAGCTCGCACGGCAAATGAACCTCTCTGGCCCGAAGATCCTCATCTGTTCGCCGCAAACACGGGCCGTGGCAGAGGATGCGCTACGTCAATGCGAATTGAAGGAATTGCCAGAGCTTATGGTGATGCACTCGCCCACTCTTGACATCAAAGAGGCGAGGACAGGGCAGACGATCTTAACGTCACAACAGCTGTCTTGGAAGCCTATCACGGACCCTGCTGTCCTAGCAGACCGGACAGCATGCCTGATCTACTCCTCCGGCACAACAGGACTGCCGAAAGGAGTGCGGTTGAGCCACGCCAATTTTGTTGCCAACATAAAACAGATCATGTATCACTTTGAGCCTCGTTATCGACTGATCCGCTCCGAGGGAAGATACCCGGCAATGCCTGGCGTGCTTCCCAACTCGAATGCGGCCGGCGTTATTCTACATGCCATGTTGCCCCTTGCGATAGGCTGGCAGGTCTACCAAGTCCCCAAATACGACCTGCCGCTGCTAATGGAATACGTGCGCAAATTCAGGCTCTCGGTTCTGTTCCTCGCGCCGGCCATTTGGCAAAGAATCGTCAACGAGTACACTAAAGACGACCTGAAGTCTGTTCGATTTGGCATGTCAGGCGGTTCGCTGCTGACCAATGATCTTCGATCGGCCGTGAGCGATATGTTCCCAGAAGGCATTGGGCTCATCTGCAATTGGGGTATGACCGAAGCTACATGCGAAGCCACCCAATTCCCACTGCATGAGATCGACACGGAGGAAAGCACTGGACGTCTGATGCCGAACATGCTAGCCAAGGTGATTGACGAGAAGGGCAGCGAGCTCGGCAAAGGTCAAATGGGCGAATTGTGCATAAAGGGACCAAATGTGACAAAGGGCTACTTCAATAATGCCAAAGCTACGGCCGACGCCTTCACGCATGATGGCTTCCTCAAGACAGGTGACATTGCGGTGGTTGGGCAGGATGAGAAGGTCTTCATCAAAGGAAGGTACAAGGTAAGGCAAACTTGACCTCTAGAGCGATACACATGAGACTAACATTGTCCGCAGGAGTTGATCAAGTACAAGGGCAATCAAGTCCCGCCGGTTGAGCTCGAATCAGTCATCATCACTGTGCCAGGCGTCAGGGATGTCGGGGTGATCGGTGTCCCGCAAGGGGATGGGAATGAGCTCCCCCGAGCCTATGTCGTCCGCGAGAGCGCGGCTTGCACGACTGATGCCATCAACGACGCCATCAAGTTGAGACTTGCAAACCACAAATGGCTGAGGGGCGGCGTACGATGGGTCGATGAAATTCCCAGGAATACCATCGGGAAGATCGATCGAAAGATCCTGGGACAATGGTGTGAAGGCGAGACCAGGGTCAACGGCGGCACAAGCTTGACTGCCAGGCTCTGAGCAACCTACAGTCGCTATAGATCCTGGATATAGAAGGCGTCAGTACTGAACGTTCCTCTCTCTTAGCTGCTGGAATCAGCAATCTGCCCAACTCTCCCCTACCAAACCCAGCTGCGGGGCCAAGCGAGCAGAATTAGCCCCGCCATTCAGGCGGCCTGACGCACGCTTGGAATCCCCAACCATTCACCTAAGAGACACCCGGGTGGCGCCCCCCTGAAATTCCAGCCTTGCAGGACGAATTGCGCCCACCAAAGACACGCATCTACCACACATTTGGCCTCCCTCGCGCGCGAATGTGACGTCCCGTTAGTCATCGTTGCATCCCAACGGTCCCCGCATTGGCAGGCATTTGCTGCCAATTGATGGCTGGAAAGTTGCTACTGGCAGATCCCCAAAGCTCATCGAATTTTCGCCTCGGATGTGCTCCTACTTTGTGACCCCTTTCATGGTAGCGTGTATTTGAGATGTGCCGGTCTTCGCGATGATGAACAGACGAAGGCTGATAGAAGGACGAGTGCTTATATGGTGAGGAACTGTATCAGAGTTCACAACAGAGTTTTGCGTGGCATCGAAGTCTAGATGGGAGCGGCTATCATGGTTGTTATCTCTATCGCGTGCTCTGCCCTTAGCGTCTTGCTACGCCGGTGCCGATACACCACAACAGACGCTGACTCGGCGCACGCTTGCCCTTCCTAACTTCACCAAGGCAGGATCTGGCCATCGTAGGAGACGAATTTCCCGGACGTGGTGTCACGAGCAGCTTTGTCGACCTGATAACCGTCAGTAGATGTGAAGGCATAGTTGTCTCGTCTCTGCTCACCACCTCAAGAACACCCTTGATACTCTGCTCGACTGTCAACGGTGGTTTGCCGGGATAACCCCAAGCTTTAGCTGCGTACTCGCCATTACTGGTTTGCACCCAACTGCAATGTGTAAGCCATCGCCACCTCCTCTGGCAAAACAACTCACCCAGGATGCACTGCCACGCTAACCAAGCCCTCTTTCTCACATTCAACATGCAACCTCTTTGTCAACCAATTCAGCGCTGCCTTGCTCGGACCGTACGCCCCGCCCGACAGCTCCATGATCTCGATGGAACCCACGGACGACGAGATTGTAAACAACTTGGGCACCTTTACGATCTGCATGAGCGGCCACAGAGCTTGGAAGGTAAGTAGCGGCGCGGTGGTATTGACGGCGAAGTGAGACTGAAGGTCTTCGGCGGTGGTGTCGACAGCATCGCCCATTGAGGTAGCCATACCGGCGTTCGCGATCAGCACGTCGACGCGATCGAGGCCCGTCTCTTTGACGAAACGAGCGCGGAGCTCTGCTGTCGAGGAAATGGTAGCCGGGTCCAATGCGAAGACGGCGAACGTGCTGCCTTCGCCAGTGGGAGCAGCGGCAAGTTCGGCGTTGCATGAAGTGACTGCTGGCTCACGACAGGTGGCCACAACGGTAAGGAATGGTCGTGAGAGCAGCCCTTTGGCGAGACCGAGGCCGATGCCTGCATTCCACGTTAGCGGGAGGCTCAGCCATGAGACGAGGGAGGGTCAGTAGAGCCAGACCTCGATTCGCCCCCGTAACAACATAGACTGTTTGAGGCGTAGACTTCGACATATTCAGGCCTGGTAAATTTAAAAGGGGAGCAAGTGTGACAAGGAAGTAGAAAAGGAGTGGCAGCGTATGCTTGCTCGTATTCTCCTATAGTGCTAGTGCTGCCTGGCGCGTCCGTGCGTCTTGGCGCCGACACATTTGCGCCGACTCTGCACAAATAGATGCATGCAACACCAAACAGCTTGACGCCCCAAGGGTGGCAATATACCTCTATCCGCCCTAATACCTGGCGCGGAAGGAAACATGGTGGTTCTAAAGTGCGGGGGACAGGAGGCCGTTGGCAGTCTTGGCCGTATGTCCGACTACTGTTACCAATCCTTTGATGTCAGAAGCGTCAAGCAGGAGTCAAGGACGAGAAGAGATGGCACGTTGGCGCAGAACTCTCTACTTGAAGCAGCCCAGGCAAAGTGTCTGGCCAGGTAGGACGTTAGCTTGAACGACAATTGCGCTGAGCAGTGAGCGGGATTCATCGCCCGCCGGCGTTGCCCGATGCGGCAGGGTGGCCGGCAACGGTGAGGGGGTCGTGGGGGCGGCCGGGAGACTCGGCCCTTCCCCAAGTTTTCTGCTAAGGTAGTCACCGTCGAGTATTGCCTGAAGCTTGGTTAATTCCTCATTTCTCCCATTCCAAATCTGGAGTCTCTATCCACTTGTCTCGAGGGCAACGGAATACAAAAAGCGGCAGCTGTCACAAACATCTCGACCTGCATCCTGCGACATGGCTCCCTCGGCAGATCCCATATCCCAACCGATGAACGGCCACATCAAACAAAGGGTATCTTCCCGGCTCTTCTCACTGAGCCAGAAACCCTCTCTTTCGGCCTTTAAAGAGCTGACGGCGCAGACTACTCACGCCTCGACATACCCTCTCGCCAATTCCTTGGCATCCAATATCCCCGTCTATGACCTGTCAGGTTACGATGTGGCAGATGCAGCAACCATATCGCGCCTCTCCGATGAATGGAATCACATTCTACTGTCTGGTCCCGGAGTCTACATACTACGGAACTTTCTCCCTGACATTCCTCTCATCGACACAGTGAATGAAGTCTTTGAAAGTATCATCGATGCCGAGCGAGCAACAGCCAGGGGAGACCATTTCGCGGCCGTAGGGAGTAACAGTCGGATCTGGAACTCCTATCAAAAGCATGCTGAGAAAGACCCCGCCACCTTCGTCCGCTACTATTCCAACCCTTGGCTCGTGCATGCTGCCGAATCATGGCTTGGCCCTGCTTACCAAGTGACAGCCCAGGTCAATATGGTGCACCCAGGTGGAAAGCCGCAGATGGCGCACCGAGACTACCATATTGGCTTCCAAACTGCCGAGGAGAGCGCCAAATTTCCCAGATCCATGCATGTTGCAAGCCAATTCCTGACTCTACAAGGAGCTGTCGCCCATTCAGACATGCCACTGGAGACTGGACCGACTCGCTTCCTGCCATACTCGCAGATGTTCGAGGACGGCTTCATGGCTTATCGCTTGCCTGAGTTCAGCGACTACTTTAATCAGAGTTGGGTCAGTGCTCCTCTGTCGAAAGGCGACGCTGTCTTCTTCAATCCAGCCTTGTTCCATGCCGCGGGCCAAAACGACAGCAACGACATAGAGCGTAGTGCGAATCTACTCCAGATCAGTTCAGCATTTGGCAAGACCATGGAATCTATTGACACACAGAAGATCATAGAGAATGCGTGGTCTCATGTCGTTGCCCTGCACAAACGGGAAGGTTTTAGTCCTGCGGTAGAAGCCGCCATCAAATCCATTGGCGACGGCTATCCTTTCCCGACCAACTTGGACTGCCGACCTCCTCAATCTGGAGGCATGGCGCCCGAAAGCGAGCAACAGCTGCTTACCAGGGCATTGCGAGAAGGGCGGGATGAGAAGGAGACCGTTGCAGCGGCCCGGCAAATCAGACTAGACTCGCTTCCATAAACGACCTACCATAGTAGCACCGGCTTGATCACTGTCCCGTCGTGCATTCCATTCAATGCCTCGTCTACGTCTTTGGCCGGGAAAAACTTGACCAGCTTCTCCAGCGGAAACTTGCCCTCTCTCCACCAGGTCATCATCTGCGGCGCCATGACCCGTGGTTCCGAATCACCGAAGTAGTTGTAGGAATATGTCTTCCCTCCTAGCATCATATCCGCTACACCAACCGTGACCGTCTTGTCCATGGGCGGAACACCGACGGACACAAAATGCCCTCGATGTCCAACGGCTCGTATGCCTTGCTCAACGATCTTCACCACCCCCGTCGTCTCGAGTCCGTACCCAATCCTCAAGTCGCCCACAGCCTTCTTGATCTCCTCTGCCAGCTGGTCAAGGTCCATCCCGGTTGTATCCACAACATGCGTAGCTCCCAACTCACGCGCCAGCGCCAACCGACTCTTGACCCTGTCCACCACCACAATAGCCTTGGCCTCCCTCGCCTTTGCCGCCATCACCGCTCCCAGCCCGACGCCGCCCAGCCCCGTAACAAGCACTATATCCTCACTCCCCACGTCAAAGATGTTAACCACGTTCCCCGCCCCCGTCATCAACCCACACCCCAACGGCGCCAACAACTTCAACTCCTCATCCCCGGACACTAACCCCTTGACATTGACCACACACCGCTCCTTAACCAAACTCCTGCCCGCAAACGAACTCTGCCCAAAGAACTTCCCCAACACCCCTCCTCCATCCTCCACCCGCGCCTCCCCACCACCACCACCGCCATTGCCACCCTCCAACAAAAACTCCCCTTCCACCCCCGCGGAATTCAACTCGCCAAACCGCTCACACCACGCCCCCGTCCCGCCCTTGACGCAGCACTCGCACGCATCGCACGCATCATAGCTCAGCAGCACGGGATCCCCCACCTGCGCCACCGTGACCCCCTCGCCGACCGCCTCGACGTACCCGGCGCCCTCGTGGCCCGGGATGAAAGGGTAGCCTCGATAGGACGCCGGGGTCGAGGAGATGAGCGCGTCCGTGTGGCAGACGCCGGCGGCGAGCATGCGGATCTGCAGCTCCTTGGGGGCTGGGCCGCGCGAGAGGCGGAGCGTGGGATGGAAGCGCCACTTTGGCTGGATTGGGCCGTCGGGGTGGATGTCGGGGGGGTAGGCGATGATGGCGGGGAAGGTGCTGGTGGTGGCGGTGGTTGTCGTTGTTGATGAGGCTGCCATGGTCTTTGGAGAAGAGTTTGGGTTGGTGGTGCTGATGGCGAGGTCATGGGCGTAGAAGGCTGATGCCGACCGATCCAAGAAGGGCGAGAGCTGAGTTCAGGAGAGCCTCGGTGCGAGTATAGTAATGGAAATGCGTGGTAAGTACCTACTCTTCTTCACTGTGCAAATCTCAGAACGGACGACCTTTGTGCTCGAGCGAAGTTCGTGTTGTAGTCAGACCTTCCGATTCAGACCATGTACTCGAGCCATGAACTTCCCCGCCCCTGGCTTAAACAAGCTACCTGGTTCCCCGGCATCTGCTGGCGTCACCTGTAGACCTCGGGTCGCCTTAAATGCAACGCAAAGTGCCATATATTCCGAAATGCGGGGTCCTACAGCCGCACCTAGCACGCTCTCGAGTCCGAAAAGGCTGACCTTAGCGTCGTCAAAAGCAGAACGTCGCAGCGTCGCCCGTTCTCAGTCTAGCTAGATATGCAGACGGACCATCTATGTTGGGTGGCTTAGCATGTCCGTGTACGAGCCGACCATCTGTGGCCTCCACCACCAGACGATAAAAAACACGGTACGCTCGGATGGCTGCCGCAAATACGGGCATATTTTGCGCACGTCCATCCTACACCCGCAAGCGGCTTTGGCATCTCGGCGAGAATATGTCTTAGCTCCAGTACGGATTAGTCGATCGGAGCAACACGCAGGGCATCAGCATGAACCAGGTTGACTTGGGTACAATCACAGAACAGGGTCTAATAAGAGCGAACAGAGACTGTACATTGCGCAGTCTTGCGCCGGCTGATGTAGAGTCAACAAGGTCGGGTGACCAGCTATTGGAGACCACGTGCCTCTCATGGCATTCATCAAATCATTCCCATCATTGCATCACAGGCGCATCGACGCCCAGCCAATTCCATCCTTGGTCCAGATCCGCATTTCCATTCATACCTCCGGTGCTAAATGGAAGGAAAGCATAGCCACTCGATCCTGAAAAGCCAGACATTTGTTCAGGAGTAGATGTATATGCTTGCGGCGTAAACCCGGAGCTCCCACCACTAGAATCCGCAGTAGGAAAGTCCAGGGGTCCTCCCATACCAGGAGCAAATGCCATCATCGGGTCGAAACTGATAAAGGGATCGTCTTCTGGCCATGGCTGACCAAGACCAGGCGCAATATAGTCTGTCCCAGTATACTCGGGCGGCTGACGTGCAGAATGACCATCGAGATTGGTTACCACCGGCGACGGCTGCGTGGACGACGAAGAAGCCAATGATGGAGGAGTCGGAAGCCCTGTATTCTGATTCGTCCTCTGTAAGCCTGGCGGTTGCGACTTGGACCTTCCCTCGCCAGCTTTTGTGTATGTTCCAGGTTTGATGGGAACAAATTGCTTGCCCGCACCAATGGTGATAGTGCCAAAGTAAGGGATCGAAACCTGACAGGTGTGTCGCTCCATCTCTTCTGGAGTGCATACCTTGGCCATCTCCGGAGTCAAATGTCGTACTTTGGCAATCATCTCAAGAGCTTGGGCGGACTGAGCAGCCACGACACCTCCTACTTCTTCGGAAGCCCCCCGTAGAAGCGAGATGGTACGATCGATCAACTCCGAGTCTTCCTGGTCTTGTTCTAGATCAGGCGAGTCGGATGCGCCATTCTGTCTGTGCGTGGCCGAGTAGCCACAAAGATTCAGCACCAGAAGCATTGCCGCAGTGAAGGTCTGGAAGTCGATCAATTTGCAGATGTAAGGACCCACGGACGTGTTCGTGCGCAGGGCCTCGTAATACCTGATCATGCCACGAGCACCATCAAGAGCCTGCGTATGTGAGTATTGATATCGCTTGTCATTGGTTTTGTGTGGCCGCAGCATAAAAGGCATGTGTAACAGCACCTTGACCTGATGGTAGAAAAATTGTGCTTGCAGCCGATCGAAATGGTCCTCCGTAGCTTGGCCAGAAATCATCTCAGTTGTCCACCAAGAAGGATCTTGGCCGGAATAGAGGTCATCGAGCCGTTGATCCAAGCTGAGTGTAGCCGAGTAAGCCATGGGAGTCACAGATTGGTTGCGGTCAACCAAACCACTGACAATTGGCATCATATGCTGAATGAACAATTCACCATCGTTCATGACAGCCGGAACGGCGGATGCGCCAGCAGAAAAATAGGGAGTACAGAAAGCATCAGGAACGGAGTAGGGCAGACCTAGGATAAGAGAGATGAAACGATCCCCGAGGACTAGGTGTGTCCAGATACCGATCTGTCGTTTGATATCGATGTTGTTCTTGTTCGGGTGACTGGCCAAGCGATGGAAGCCCAAGAGTTGAGAGAAGCTGATGGCTCGAGTGTATAGAAGCCATGCCCGCCGAGGTCGGCCCATATTCACCTGATACTTGGCTTCCAGGGCCATACATTCGATCCCTTCCACAGTCGCGGCGATCTCGTCATCGGACACGATCAACCTGTTGACGGTGGAAACATATTTTTCGATGAGCTGTGAACGAGATTCCTTCAACTGCAACCGACTCCAATCGAACCCGTGGGGCATCTGATGTATAGTTATAGCGATGCAGAGCATGATTTTGGCAATCTCGGCAGGCTTTTCTGATCGCAGTGAATGAGAGACTGACTGCTTCATGGTCTCGCATCTTCGATCGGTGATCTGAGGGAACATCTTTCGCCATATCGTCCACCACTCATGTGAAGATTCTAGGATGATCTCGAGATCGTGAGGGGAGGGCAGTAGCTGGTTTAGAGCTGCAATGACAGTTTTGGATTTATTGTATTGTGAGCGAGACACAGCAGGCGCAGAATCTTTCCGGCTGATAACGGCATTGTCGAACAAGGTCAGCGCGGGTGCCTCGTCGCGAAGACCGCCGGGTAGATATATGGATTCTTCAATGGTAGGGGAAGTCGGCGCCGCACCGGTCTTCAAGCTTTTGAGGACTTCGGCTGCCTGAGCGTCGACCTGAGTGCGATCGACTGATGGTGAATCGCCTGGGTTGTGTCCATCAGGGAAGCGGTGGAGGACTTGCTTGACAAGTCCTTCAAGCTGGGTCACCCGTTCGCGGAGACTGTAGGACGACTGCTCCGCCGCTTGCTGGGCATAGGCGTTGATGTCTCCATGCTCTTGATCGATGCAAGTGGAACCTCGTGCATAGCATTCGTTGCAGATGGCAGTCCGGCCTGCTTCGAAGGTACATTTGATCTTCCTCCGCCTACACTCGAGGCAACTCTTGGTTCCCTTCCTCATCTTCTTTCGCGGCGGTCCTTGCGAATGATCGGCTGACTGGTCGCCCACGGGCGAGTTCGAGGTACTGTAAGGAAGCGACATTGTCGCGGATGCGGTCAGGTAGGTCAGCGAACGACGGTTTCGGGTAAGTGAATGTCTGATAGAGGTGAAAGAAGTCGTAAAGGACGGTGTTGCGAACGGAAGGTTCTCTGCTTATTCAGATGGAGAGACGGGGCAAGTTGGGGCTGAAGTGCGACCCGCAGCTGTCGCGACTGCCACGTTCCAAAGTTTGAATCCGCCGCTATCAGCAACGATGGACTTCACCTCTACGTAGCATGAACGCTGAAGATCTGATGGTTATTCTGGGCTATGACGGTCCGATCGCAATTATTCTGCTGCCTTCGGAATTAAGTAAGCACATCTACACGGCACATGAAGAATATGCCTCTCTTCTGGCATTTCGTCCGAGCATCCCGGACGAAGGTGCTGGCTGAATCCGCGTTTGTAATGACTTTTGGTCTTACTCCTACAGTGAGAAAAGGAAAGGTTTTAGTCCTGGAATGTCACCATACAGCGCGAGCAGCAGACTGGACATGGTTCCATGGACCTGTTCGGGAGAAAGTGCTGGGTCTGGGGGACATAGTCGACTCGCAGTCATGTCGTGAGTCAAGAAATATGTCGTGGCGATTCAGCCCGGACACGGGTTTGATGTGTGTCTTGCTGATTGCGGATGCAATTCAAGGTGTGGCAGTAGCAGCTTTGAATTGGGCAGCATGGAGCCCAGAAAGCACCTCATCCAGGCCCACCGATTCGCTTGAGGACGCTTACTTTGGCGCCAAAAGTCGGATATTTTCGGGCAGTGTTTAATGTACGTATATATATTTGATAACCCAAAAATTGGCTCTGAAATGTCGTCGAGAACGATTTTCGAACGACCTGGCTTGCCGGGGAGGATGGCCGAGCGGTTATGGCGGTGAGATTCACCCCAGAAGACATTACTTCTGGACATGTAACTGATGGTCGTCTGCAGTGGGACTCAAGCGTATGGCTTAAATCCTAGCTCACTAGATTTCTCATGGGGCAACCCGCGTGGGTTCGAGTTAGTTATGCTCATAATCTGTTCGGGGATTCTAGCTGACAAAACCTCCAAGATCCCACTCCTCTCAACATCTTTTTGCTTTTTGCTCTTTGCTTTTTGCTCTGAGCAGAGGACAAGAGTCTTGGCTGTGGCAAGTGGAGAGGACGGCAGTTGACTATGATTGGACAACAAATCTAAGCATGATCTATCAATTGAAATGTCCCTTCATTTTTCCCAGACCACCTCAATCTTCTCGTCGGTCACTCTCGAGTTGAACCACTCCAAGATTTCTATCTGATCTTTGCAACATCGGGCACCCCTCAACGCATCAGTCTCCACCAAGCGCTGCGTCGCACAGTACAGCTCCATCGTCGCCAGGTTCCGCGCGATGCACTGTCGCGTGCCCAGACCAAACGGAATGGCATCTCGATTCATCTGTTCCGTGGCGTTAAGCCAACGCTCCGGCTTGAATGCTCTTGGATCCTCGAAGACATTCGGGTCAAAGTGAAGCTCATAAGGAGTGCAGGACACCTCTGTTCCAGCTGGGAAGAATGTGCCTTTGAATATCCATCCACCAGGCGGAACAACTCGCGGAAGTCTCGATGGGTTCGCCATGCTGATTCTCAGACCCTCTTTGACCACACCTCGCAGGTAAGGCAGTGATTGAACTTCGCCCTCAGACGGTTTCGCGTCTGTCAGCTCTTTCCTCAGCCTCTCATATTTGTCAGGATGCTTCGCCAGCATGTAGACGATGGTCGCGAGGTTCATGCCAGTTGAGTCTGTACCGGCAAACATGAGATCCTTGCACTGCGCCTTGACTTCGCTCTCCGAGAGGCCTGCTTGCAGCAATCGAGCCTGATACGTTGAGCCTGCACCCTTCTCACCAATACTCTGATCCACTACCTCTTCGACAAACTTGTCCACAACGTTGATACTGGCAAAGACCTCCCAGTCAGGATAGATCTTTGACTCTGCCCACTCAAGCCAGGCAAAGGCGCTTTGAGGTAGATACCAGTAGCGGCCTACAGCCACGAAGCTGTTGACCATTCCGCCTGCTGACAGACCACCATGAACCTCATCTGCAACAGCTCTCCTCTCTTCTCTTTGCCCGTCTAAGCCGCCATAAGACTTTCCAAACAGATAGGCAGTGACTGCGTCAACTGCCAAGGCGCGTGTCAAGTCCAGAACATTGACCGGCTTGCCAGTATGTGCGGCTTCCTTGAGTCGTTCCACCCACTGATCAACACAGCTATAGATGGTCGAACGGCCATTTCTGAGGTTGCTTGTGCTGAACAAAGGAGTTACTGCTTTCGCTCTTGGTGCTCGGGTTCCGGGCTCCAGCTCAGAGAAGATACTTGCATGACCGTCGATATCGAAATTGCGATAGAATGCGGCCTTCCGAAAACCACCTTTGTCGACATAGATAGCCTGTAGAGCATCACCGTCTGCAATATCAACTGACATTGGCCCCGTTCGGACTACAGACCCATAGCGATGATGGAGTCTGTGGACTGCCGAGGCCTCGTCGCCGACCCAGGCATGGCGCACCAGCCACAGCGACGACAGACGTGGGAGATGTGGTCCAGGTATATGGGCGAGAGTATGCAACGGGGAAATGCGGTAGACGAGGACGGCAGCCAAAGGTAGGAGGAAGATGGCTATTATTGGGTGCGTGAGCAGTGCAACGGTAACAACGGCAGAGAGTGCCATGCTGACTTGGTGCAGAAGCCGAGTAGAGGCTCGCTGTCGGCAAGGGCCAGCCTTTTTCTTGTTGTCCTACCACAAGTGACTCATATCCACTTCTGATAGGTCGAGTGGCTTGCGATGCGCCGATCTCCAGCAAAGTCGGACAAGGCCGTGCCGTCTCCAACGACCGGCCCACGACCTGGTATAACTCGCGGCGACAAGCGTTCTGCACACTGACTCTGACTTTTGCTCCTAAGCCATTGTAACGCACATCTATCGACGACGATCCAACCATTCAGCATGGAGCCGATCACAAACATCACCAACGGCACCAATGGTGCGGGCCCTTCCCGCAAGATCGTGGTCGCCGGTGCACAACTTGGGCCGATAGACGTGCCTACTGCGCGATCTGAAGTCATTGCTCGCATTTTCAAGCTCATGGACGAAGCGAAGACGAAAGGCGTCAAGCTATTTGTGCTGCCAGAGATCGCATTGGTCACCTTTTTTCCCCGTCATCTTATCACTAACCCTGAGGAATTGGAGAAGTATTTTGAGCGCGAGGTAGACGGCGATCCAGCCAAGGCACATAACATGAAGCCCGTCTTTGATAAAGCTCGGGAGTATGGCATGGATTTGAGCATCGGCTACGCCGAATGTGCTGATGCCTCTGGCGACAAGCACGAGCACTACAACACCAACGTTTACTACTCGGCCGCTGCGGACAAGGTCATTGCCAAGTACCGCAAAGTCCACTTACCCGGGACCGTTGAGCCATATGAAAGACCCGATGCGACCAACCAGCTGGAGAAGAGGTACTTCAAGCCCGGAAACCTGGGGTTCAAGGCGTTTAGAGCACCGGGACTCGTTGAGAGTCCGCTCACCAAAGCCTCGGGAAAGGCTGCCAATGACAAGGAAACACTGGGACGGGGAGATCCGATCATGGGAATGATGATTTGCAATGACCGTCGATGGCCTGAAGCATGGCGACCATATGGTCTGCAAGGTGTCGAGATGGTGCTCTGTGGATACAACACCACCGGCTGGGCGCCGGAGCTCTTGGGCACCAACCCCAAGATCAAGACCAAAGAAATGGCGAAGAACGAAGCGCTGTTCCACAACAAACTATCCGTTCAGCATGGAAGCTACTCCAACGCATGCTGGAGCATCAATGTCGCCAAGTGTGGCATGGAGGATGGGAAGTATCCGCTCATTGGCGGCAGCTGCATTGTGGACCCCGACGGCGAAGTGGTGATTGAGGCGAAGACCGAGGGCGACGAGCTTCTGGTATGGGAGTGCGACTTGGATTTCTGCAAACGGGGTAAAGGAAAGGTGTTTGCGTTTGAGAGGCACCGCCGACCTGAACACTATGGCATTATGGTAGAACAGACGGGAGTGAAGGAGCCAGACTTTCTGTAGAAAGCTGCGACGTAGATCTCCAGGGGCATCTTCCGCGTAGATTAGAACCCTTCAGCACACCTTGTAGATGCATGATGAGAAAGGTACAAGAAACTTGGATCCAAAGAAGTCGGACATCAGTTTTGGCCCCCCTGAGTCCGATAAGGCGGGCTTGGCGTCCATAAATAGACTGGTGTCTCCTGCAGCAGCTCTCGCTGTCGCCCGCTGTCTTCGGCCTGGTCACGTCCGAGTCAACGCGTCACACTTCATCTACGCACTGTATATCGACCTGGACTCGAATCTTTTCTATCGCGAGTCACGACTAGTTGCAGAGTTTAGCAAAGCCTCGACTTGCTGTGAATCAACGAAGCTCGAGAACCGCCAAGTCCGCACCACATGGCAGACACCCACCCCATGACCCTCCGGCCAGGAGGCTCTCCATCACCGAATCCGGAGCAGCAGCAGAGTCAACAACAGTACCAAACACAGCCATACCAGTCCTTGGGCCAACCCAGTCCCTACCAACAGAACCCCATCAATTACAGCACGCGCTTCTCCAGCGCCAACTTCCCCCAGGGGCCTCCTGTTGAAGCTGGCTCCGGACAATCCCCTGTCTCGGCTTCGAATTCCACACCAAATCCCTTCGCCGACCACGGTAGCCGCTCTCGCAGCAGCACTGTCGGCGGGCAATCTCAACATCGCCCCAACGATTCGGCCGGCGCCACACCCCTCCAGCCCCAGCACTCAGGCTACGTGACTGCCACCAGTTCGCGACCAGTCTCGCGCTCCACGGCCGCCTCCCCGCCCAACGCCATTCCTGGCGCCGCTCAGTCCCGCCCGTCCACCGGCAGATCCCCCTTCTCAACCCCAATCAGCGCGCCGCCGAGACAACGCCCGGCGCAAATCCTGCTCATCAACCCCAACTCGACGCGCTCCATGACCGATGCCTGCCTAGCTTCCGTGCGGCCCAATCTCCCCGCCAACGTCGAACTGACCGGCTACACGGCGCCCTACCCCGCCCCAACCGCCATCGAATCCGCCACGGACGCCATCATGTCGACGGAAGCCGTGCTGCGCGACCTCGCCAAGTACGCGGCGCCCAACAACGAAACGGTGCAAAACTTTGACGGCATGCTCGTGGCCTGCTACAGCGCGCACCCGCTCATCGACGCCCTGCGCGAGTCCTACGACGTGCCCGTCATCGGCATCATGGAAGCCTCGCTGTACGTGGCGCGCATGCTGGGCGGGCGCTTCGGCATCGTCGCCACGGGCGCGCGCAGCAAGTTCCGCCAGGAGGACAGCGTCGCCGCCTACGGCCTGACGCACTTCTACGTCGGCAGCGAGGCCACCGGCCTGGGCGTGCTGGAGCTCGAGAGCCGCGATCGCTCCGAGGTGTTGAAACGCGTGGCGCACGCGGCGAGGGTGCTGGCGGCCAAGGGGGCGGATACCATCTTGCTGGGCTGCGCGGGCATGACGGATATGGTGAGGGCGGCCAAGGACGGGGTGCGGGAGGAGGACGGGACGCGAAAGGTCAATGTCGTGGACGGCGTCGAGGCCGGCGTGCAGGTCCTGTCGGCGCTGGTGGGCATGGCCATCCCCACCAGCAAGAAGTGGATCTACAAGGGCGAGAGGGACGGGCGGAGGGCGAGAGGGCAGAATTGGTTGTGAGACCTCCAGCTTTGTTTGTTGATAGAACGACTTTGGGGCTATGTTGGACATCGATCTGCGACGAGAGTACGACAGTGTTGTATGTTGTCTACTTCGACGGTATCACGACGCCCTGTCGTGGTTCTATCTATCTATCTATCTATCTAGATTCTACGTTTATCTGGTATCATATCCATACTCCGAACCAGCGCCATGCTTAACCCACCCAAAACAGACAAAGCCCTTCAAAAATCTAAACATTATCCGCTGCATCCTTCTCATCCTCCGCTCGTCGGCTTATAATGCGCCAAAGCGGCGACCCCCTCTTCGGCTTCGCGGCGGCCGCACCGTCTCTCTGCGCCGCATTAGCCCGCTCCTCCCTCGCCTCAGGCTGCCCCTCAGCATCCGACACCTCCTGGCTGATATCCCTTGAATCCGGCGCCTCCTGGGCGTTCACATGCACGGCCGGCTTGCTGTGGTTGTGGCTCGCGAGGCCGACGATGAAGTCGCGGGCCCTCCTGGTGCTCTCGACGTCGTGACCCACGAGGGTGCCGGAGTGGGGGTGGTGGGAGCGGAAGATGGGCGAGCGCCAGTGGTTGAGGAGGTGCTCCATGAGGCCGATGAAGATGGCGCCGCCGATGATGTTGCCGAGCACGGCGGCGGATTGGTTGTACCATTGTCGGCCGATGGTGGAGTGGGCGCCGTACATGAGGCCGAGAGAAGTGAAAAACACTGGTTGAGCGGGTTAGTTGGGCGGAAGGGGATTTTGGGATGTTTGAGAGGGCTGCTTACTGTTGGCGACGCAGTGCTCGAACGAGCAGAGGACGAACATGACGACGGGGAACCATAGTGCGAGGATTTTGCCGGCGGCATCGCGTGCTGAGAGGCCTAGGACGACGGCCATGCACACCATCGTGTTGGCTGGGATGGCTCGAAGGAATATTTGGCCCCAGTCTGAGTGCCGTTGTCAGCATATGTCCTTGTTGTAGCGAGGTGATACTCACTTGGATGTTCCAGCTTTGCGACAACGACTTCGTTCAGGTAGCTGCGATATTGGGGATAGTCGAACAAGTCTGTCAGGTAGCCGAAGAAGTATGCAGTGAGCAGACAGCCCGCCCAGTTTCCGAGATATACAAGGAGCCAATTGACTAGGATTCGTCGAAGCGGGACGACCTTGTTGTACCATCCTACACAGAGGTATTAGCTGGTGCCGGGATCCGGCGATGGCGTAGGAACTCACCGACTGCCAGGACCATGGTGTTGCCCGTGAAGAGATCTCCTCCGAACAGGGCAATAAAGTGCAGAGCTGGTGAAAGTGTGAGCAGTGTACCAATGGTTGTTGCTGCATAACTTACCGAATGCGAAGAAGGCGCCCATGAGGAACTTGGGCAACGAGAGCCAGTCATGCCGCACACTTTCGGGGATGCCGCCCGCCGCGCTGACGGCTGCTAGTCCACCGATGCCAACCCAGAAGCCTGCTAGCATGCCACTGAAGAAGACCTTGTCGGGTGCATTGTTGACCTTCTTGGTGGCATTGTATAGAATAGCGTCTTCGAGAAGCAAGCCAGATAGCATCTCGGAGGGCGCAGCTTGAGGCTGGGTTGGAAGTTGGCGGCCAGAAGGGCTGTGCGGAATGAATGCATTGATGTTGTATGGTACTGATAGATGGCTTCGGGGCCGTTGTGAATGTTTGCGGGCAAGGGATGGCATCGCACGGAGTGAGAATATGTCGGTTGAAGCAATTGAGTGAACGACGTGCTCGAGATCTATGGGTCTTGGGTGAATAGCTTGTGTCTATAAGGTTCGAGGGAAGGGGATGGATAACGAGGGCGAAGACACAGCATCAATATATTGGGTACCCAAGTAGCTGAGGTGAGCAATTAGCCAATCCGCACAAGCACATGCTCGACCGAACCAGCCGTGCCATGCATAAGAACAGAGCGGTGATTTAGTCCCAGATCCCAACGGGTGTGGCGCACGCCGAGACCCGTAGACGAAGGTACGCGAACCAGTCTTGGAAACATGAAAACCGCTATCGCTCGACCGAGCTGTGATGGTATGGTGAGCGCAACCAAATACGAAAAGCCGCATGGCTCAACAAAGGGTCTGGAATACGATCATGAGATTGTCCGAGGGCGAGAGGTTCGCTGGTCGCCGAGACCCAGCCAATCGGGGCGAGAAAATATCGGCGTCCGGCCTTAGTCTGCAAAGACATCACACCACCTGCTTCGTCGCCCTCTCGTCCCGTTATTTCCACATCAAGGACCTCTGACCCTTTTGCTCACGCTCTGAGACCACAGGCGAGACTTCATGTGTTGTCTGATGTCGGTCATCAGCCAGCTAGTCCGTCCAATGTACTGCAAGTTGCTTGATCTCTACACCTTCTCAACCTTGACGTTATCAACCGCAAAGTTGGCCTTCCCAGGTGAATCCATCTGAATCAGGAATGTTCCCACATTACGACCCATGAAAGTGCCTGTAACCTTCTTCCACTCGGCGGTGGCATTCGCGCGGATGACCACCGATTGATGAACGGGATACGTGAACCTGAACTCACCGCTGTCGCCTCTGATATGTGCAGTCAGCCGGTACTTGACACTCTCGGTAAGAGCTGGTTGTTGCCCAATGTATGCATCAATGTGATCGCGAGGGTCGCCCTTTTGGCCATTACCCGTAACATTGACATAGCGCTTGCCGCCGCCAGGTGCGCAATCTCTATTGCATTCGACCATTGTTGCCTGCATCGAGTTGTCCGAGGTGAAGTCCATGAAGAACCAGGGCTTCAGGCATCCCGTTTCGAAGTTGCCATTCGGAATCAACGGTTCTGGTGGAGTCCAGTTGGTGGCATTGTACACAGCAAGGTAGCTGTTGGTGCTACTGTTGTCACATTGGAGGACACTGGCGTCATAGAAGTTGGCACTCAGCTCGCAAGCGCCGACTTTGGGGGTGATTGAGTCGAGGGACCAGTTGAAAGAGCGGCAACGGGCTTCTTTGTTGCACCTATCCTGGCATTGCCTGATGCCAGCTTCCTTGGCGACGTCGGTGGTGTACACAGAGACCCAGGACTGATAAGAGCAATGCGGCCCGGGTTCAGCCACAAGCTTGTACGGGTGCGGCGTTGCATAAGAAACGGGTGTGCACGAAGCCTTGTTAGCTTGTGCCTCGTCTTGGGTCTGAGTCGACAGGAGGGCAACAGCATCATCTGCGTTGGGAAAGACAGACATGTCGTAGAACGGATCGGATGAGGCGGCCAACACGTTTGATGCCAGGCCGATGAAGACCCCGAAGATGAGAACCAGAGCTTGTGTGAAGGAATGCATCATGGTAGTTGCAACGTTCGGTGATTTCGCTTCAACGATTGAGTTGCTGCGCTCGACAGATGCTGATGCTGAGCCAGCTGAGACTGACGGCTATATGCTCTTGTGAGCATGTCGCCAACTGTCTGGGGTCTAAACCCCTAAGTGACAATGAAGGGCTTGACAGCATAATCTTTCTGGTGCAAGACTGTACAAGTATGTTCCGGAGAGCGCCATGCATTCATCGCCACTGTAAACGCTCGAGTGGACGTGACAGCCAAAGCGCATGGCTGCTGCATGGGCGATTGGGCTCCACTTATACCTATACATGGTGTCTGGTCCAGTCAAGGTCGTAACCTCTGCTTGTCCGAGGTGTTTCAACCTGAGTACGCAATTCTCGAAACAGTCATTGCTGTCCATCAAGCCGGCAACGCGGAAGGATTCTGTGAAAGTCGACAAGCACGCTCGGATAGGGCGACGCATGGATCGCAAAAGGGCGAGTCTCGCAATACCTCGCGGCACTGTGCTACATTACTACGAGGTCTGTACCCGCATGTCTTGCATTCTGATGATATCTATCAATAATGTCTGAGACATCACAGGTGATCATGCAGCCACCAAATTGTCTCAGTACTCTTGAAGCCTCAAAACGCATGGAACTAGCAGTCCTCGTCAGTAGGTCTAGCAGTTCCTCGAAAGGTCAGGCTGGGAGTCTCGCCTGGAGTCGGCGACGCTCGCGAGCTGTGGGCAATGTTTTGTTGAGTGCAGCTATCAGTGATCCAGCAATTTCTCATTGATCACCACTATCCTACCGGTCCCGGGCGCTGTACGGTGGTGCCTGTCCCTGAATCTCGTGGTCTTGTCCGGCTGGCATGACAGTCAGCAGCTACGTGTCCTGGATCTTTTTGAAGATGGTCCATCGAGCAGTCGCACTGCGGCATCGCTTGCCGAAAATCCACATCGGAATGGTCAGGAGACAGATGAACTGCTCTCGTCAGTCACTCAATCCCATCAACAGCGAGCTCGATTACTCACGATATGTAGACCACCAATTGTGCTGAATACCTGCAGCGGTCCTTGCTTGGTAATCCAGGAGGAGATGAAGTAGTTCATTCCGAAGGAGTAGATGTTGCGCAAGTTGAGCGCAGCAAAGGCTTCTGGTGCCTTGTTTCGATGGCATTCGGTGATGTAGCCGTATATACTATTCTCCAGCGTCAGCGGGAGACTCAGATAGCGATGTCAATACTTACCCGATGTTGAGAAACGCCATCGCGAAGTAGATCAGCCCGTACAGGATGACTGGCCCAGGCCAAGCAGTCTCATTCTCAAGGCATCCACCGAAGCCAAAGAATCCAACTACACCTAGGACGAACGTCAAGACATTTAGAGACAGTCGAAACTCGGGCTCGTAAATGCCGTTGTTCCATCGGGCCAGCTTCTTCACCGTCCAGTCGTTGAGCGGACCGGCCGCAAAGCCAAGCAATGAGGCTACCAATGGTGCAATACTGATGAGTCCAACTTGTGAGACACTGAAGTTGTATGGCGGAACGGTGAAAAGCTGTGCGAGAACGCTGATCATCACCACAAGCCAGGATGTCGACAAGCCGTATGTAATAAACCCATACAACACCTGTGGGAACAGCAGCATTCCGAAAGGCCGGAAGATGATGTACAGCAGATTCTCATCTGACTCAATGCCACGGACTGGCAGTAGCTGCTCGAACCAGGTGTAAGGCTTCTCATCTGCACCGGTATAAATCGGAACTTGGCGGACGGAAGTGTGGGATTCGACCTTCTCGACATCCTCGTTCTCCTCGATGGAAGCACCTTTGGCGTCCAGGATTTCCTCGGTGTGATCGGTCGTGCCAAGGTCGATGTTGTACGCCGGGTCTCGCTTGTATACCGTTTCAGGACAGAACTGCGGCCTGTCAGTATGCTTGGATTTATCTGAAAACCGTTCGGAGTACGCGGGAACGTGTCCATGGACCTGATGTCCGAGTAAGCTGCAAAGGGGTGACTCACGAAGAATATGAGGATGATGAATGCTCCGTAAAAGCATGCGCAAATGCCGTACGTCCAGTTCCAGCCAAGGTCCTGGACACAAGTCAGACTATCCACCTGATCAAGCAAGAGCCCTCCTTACCTCAATGATATAGCCGGATATACAGCTTCCTCCTCCAACCCCAATACTCAGACACAAGCCCCAAAAGGCCAGACGAAGTCCGCGCTCATGGACGAAATAGAGATCGCCAATGATAGCAGTGACAAGAACCTCGAATGGGCTCATACCGATGGCACCAAAGATTCTGCTGGCAAGCAGCGAATGATACGAGTGGGCAAAATAAGCCCAGACGCTCGAAACAAACAGAAAGAGGTTGCCTCCAATGATCACCGGACGTCGGCCAAACTTGACGGAAAGACCGTTCGTGATAAAGCAGGAGATTCCTATCGCGAAGATGGCCCAACCAAGGCCGGCGTTGAGGTCGTTGTACGACATATCGAATTGGACGGCCATCTCGGCGAAACCTGGTGTAATCATCGGACCCCAGGCACCTGCTATCAGTCAGGACTGGTGTGATAGTCTGCTGTACTACTCTTACCCACGACTGCAGTGTCGATGCTGATGATAAGAAGCATCAGATCTTTCTTCCACGTCGGCCAGTTCAGGGGGTCTCGAGGCGATTCGCTTGGCTGAGGAACCAGCACGATGTCACTATTCCTGCCCTTGGCGTGCTTCAATCGAGATGTGTCACGGCCTGTGTATCGATCAGTGATGCGGCTTGGATAGTTCTGGGGCGCGTACCGTGATAGCGGTGCTGCCGGGCATCGATCATATCGGCCAGTAACGCCGTCCCCGGCACATGCTCAAGGTGCTTGTCGTCCAACACGCCCAGCCCCATTTTGCAGTCTTGAATTTAAGTCCCAATATATATTTGAGGTAGAAAGTCGCAAGTAGCAGACTTTCCAGGACATAGCGGGCGGCATCGGGTATCTATATGTTTCCAACTGCAAACTCATTGTCGCGGATCCGTGGGGCATTCGGCATGTTCGCGACCACGATTGCCGCCAAGTAGACTCCAGGAGACAAGAATCCTTACCCGAAGCGCCACGTAGTGCTTGGTCGCTTAGCACAGAGCCTCTCCTCAGATTGGATTATCATAGGGCGGTATCCGTAACGCGTGGGCTCTGCGGGGTACGCATCGGAGCGTTGCTGCCGAGCACGCTATACCCCAGACCATGTTGTCCGCTAGTTGTCGGACTGTGTGCGTTCGGTGGGGAGCAGTGGAGGAATGCAAACTTTGTGAATAACCTGTCGTTGCCCACGCCGTCGGAAGGGACCGTGAACGTGTACAGAGTATATCCCCACATCCGGTGGCTTGGACAACTCAATGTCACGCGCATATCTAGAACCTGGCCTACTGTGGGACGCTGGTCGTAAGGACACACATACCACGACGCCTGTCTTGAAGTGTCAGACCTGCTTGCTTACCGTAGCCCCCTGCTCGCGTAGCTCTTCCTAAAAATCTGCTTTACCTGTTGCCAAGTCTCGACGCCTTGACAAGGCAACCACTTGGAGATAGTGCAGCAGTATCCCGGCGGTTGCCTTAGATACCGGCTTCAGGTATGGCTCATTTCGTCTGAGGTGAGTAGTGTCTCGCTGCTGTCACTTGAAAGCGATTGGTTGTATTGGCTGCGCTGCTCTCGTGGCGGTACATGTCACCAATAAGCTTGCTAACGGAATACAGAAAGCCTGCGGCTTGCCACTTTGTCACGAGGGAATTTGATAGAGGGTGCAGGGTTTGCTGCGGTAGCCTTCTCAAGAGCAGGCAATATGGAGGTTCAGGCTTGACCGGACAGTCCGCTGAATGTGTCGAACACCTGCAATAGCCTGCTTCGGCGTTTGACCTCTCCATTCGAAATGGGTCTCCACCACCACGGATGCCCTTTGAAGGTCCCGAAGTCACATCTCCAGCGGTGATCCACGGATCTGGCCGGCGTCAAGTACGCTGTGAGAGAGTCTGTCGTAAAATATCGGTGCTTCTGGGTTGAGATAGATGTCAGCCTGGGAAGCCTTCATGGCTGGTCTGCAAACATCCTCAAGAGCCAAGCTGGACGTCGTAGGGTACCAGCGGCGAAGGTCTTCACGATGAAGGATCTTGTCTCTCCAGCGTTGAGATGCTGCACTATTGATACCGCTCTAGCAGCCCCAAGAAGTGAGGACCAAAAATTAGAACTTCCCAAAGCGTACCGCCTGTGATGCTGCTCCGACGGTTCTGTTATAAGCATTATAAGCACCTTGAGTGAATTGCATCTTTTCGGTATGAATAACAACGCCATAGCGATCTTCTGTACCGCCGGTACTACGCTGTAGATGCTGTGATAAAACTGAGCGAGCATATACTTCGAATTACCTTATATTCCGAAGTGCCGACAAATCATATCCCACGGATACGTCCCACCTGCCGATTCAAGCGAGAGGTTGCCCTGCGGTTGCCTCGCTGTGTCGGACCACTGGCACGGCTTCGACACACACACTGCGCACAGTCTTCACGATACTCTTGCCTGTCTACAGCCCTTCCGGATGCCCGATCCTGTCTCCTGAAAGGCCATTCCCTGCAGAATTCGCAATAATGCCGGCATCAACGAGCCCCAACCTTTGTCCTCGGACGCCATCTCCTCGCAAGGACGACCCAGACTAGCCTCTCACCAATGCTCCGCCCACAACCTCCAAGTAGAGCACGCCCCTACGATAGTAATGCCCCAATGCGCCGCGAAAGCCTTCCCCACGCCCCCTTCCCCGTCCGTGAGCACCAACCACCCATCCCGCACGCCGTTCACGCACATGCACCCCAACATAACGCTTACGGCGCGCCACTCGCCGCACGCCTCCAGAATAGTGAGCATGAGGCCAATGCCGAAGCAGCGCTGCGCAAAGAGGTAGAAGAAGGGGTCCAGCCGGGTAGGCGACGTCTGCTGCTGCTTTTGAGAGGAGCTTCCTGCCCCCACCGGCCGCTTTGGCGGGAAGCCGACCTGCTTGCACATTTCGACGGAGCGCGTGATGGAGAGGGAATTCAGGAAGACGGCGAACATGAAGAGCGGGCAGAAGTAGGCGAAGAGGTAGTGCCATTGCGACAGCAGGGTGTTCCATGAGATGGCGGAGTCCATGTTGATGGGTGAAGGCATGGGATTCCAGAGAGGATTTGTCTGTGAGAGAGTGCCAAGAGAACTGGAGGCTCGTAGAAAGATGCTTGCAGGTCTGGGCCTGGGGGAGAGCTGGCGATCTAATATATAAGTGTTGTCAGAGGTCGCTGCAGGGCTGATATCAGTATCCACCTTTCGGCGCGGCCTGATCAGGCGTCCAATACTAGTGCATTGTCGCACTGGGGGAATCAATCAATACGTAGTCCGAAGTCGACTTACGAAGAGGCTACCAAACATGCACTTCGTGCAAGGCTAGCCGACTTTGGGAATGTTTTAGACTGAAACAATGCTCCAAATGGGTGGCGGGTAAGCGAATCAACGTGATCTCACGTCTGCGGGCCCGTGGCATCAACAACTCCCATACGGAGATCGACTTGGCCTGCGGATCCCTTGGGAAAGTAGTATACGAACTCGTCGAATGAGCAGGTGTGATTTTGACGCGACCTTGCATTACTCTTGCTGGTACTTTGCTGAGGAAACGAGAGAGAAGAAAGTGTACTGCCGCGCCGAGGCGACATGGCATTACGCTGCCTTGGGTATCATAATCTGTGCGCGGTCGATTACAGGGCCGCGGAAAAGAAGTTGACTCATTTGTCAATCGTCCACAATGCACCGTCGCAGGACCGTCTTACTGAAGTCATAAACGACTCTCGCCGACGCCCGCCACGTATGCAAGTGATCATCGGAAGAGCCTCCTGCCCGTCGTTCCATCTCCAGCGCGATACGCCACACTGCCCGGTACACCTAGTAGACTGTGACTGCTGCCTTGCATGCCGGCCCCAAATCCCTCCCCATCAGCCTTGTACCTCCTCAACGCCTCTCTGAGATGATCCGGCAGCAAGCCACCCCGATGTGGGTTGGGTATGTACTCCTCGCTCTCCTTCTTCAGTCGCTCGATATCTCGCTGCACGAGCACTTTCTCTTGCTCGCCCATGCCGCCCTCCTCCCTCTTCAACAGCAGCCGCTCCAGCTCCGCCCGCCGCCACTTCTTCTCTTCCTCGCGGGTCTTATCGTATGCCTCCGCCCACTCCTTTTGCACATCTCTCGCACCTTCCACCAACAGCCCAGCAAACAGCTTGCTTGTCCAGCTCACCGTGCTCACCACCCTGTCCACGCTACTCTGGCTCATCACTTGGTTAATGATGCGGCGTACATTTTTGGGTTCAATCTTCCAACTCCGGTACTGAGTATATCTCGTCCTCTGCTCCTCATTGAAAGCGCTGGCCAGCATGCGCTCGCGATCTGCGCGACGCGTATCCTCTTCCTCCTCGCGCTTCTTCTCATCGGCCGTGATCTCCACTTCCACCTCTTCATCATCGTCGTCTTCGTCTTCATCACCGCCTGCTTCTGACCGCGCACCCGACTTCCCACTCACAACCGACTTGGCCGCGCCACCCTTGGTCGTAGTACTTCGCGCGGTATCATCTTTGTCGGCAGGCAAAGGCGCATTCTTTTTTGGCCTTCCCCTGCCTCGGCCGGGAACCTTCGAGCTAGTCGCTGAAAAGGTGCTGTTGGCAATAGAACCAGTTTCGGAACGTGCCGAGGGCGTAATGGCGGAGTCGTAGGCACCCGCAACCGCTGCGGGGAAGGAGGTCTGTCGGAGCGGGTGTAGTTGACGGCGTTTGGCTGCCGAAGTTGTGGATGTTTGAGAAGACATGGAGGGGCGCTTCTTCGGGTTTGGCAGTGTGGGTGGAAATGGAGACGGCGGAGAGGTGGCCATGTTGGTGGTGGGGAGGTGCTTTCAAAGAGAACTTCGAGCAGGTGTCACTCGCTTAGGCAGTAAGGTGAGATTTGTCACCAGTCACGAGTGTGTGTGTCTCCCTCTATCAGTCAGGCACAATGGTAGTCGCGAATTCTCAGGTGTGAATGGCGTGATGCAAGAAGCGTCGATGAGGAAACTATTCATGAATCTCAAGTTGGAGTTCTGAAGCGGAATGCATGCCCGGAGGCGGAGAAACCACGGCTCCGACCATATCTCAAGACGGAAAGTGAGCATGTGCATGGCAATAAGTGCTTGCAACGTCTCACGTGCCTCCTTGCCATTATAACGAAGCCGAGAAAAGTGCTGGGAACATGTTTTTCTAAAATCTGGTTTGGCACTACTTGATTGTATTATGAGTGCTTCTATCAGAGGTCGTTGCTAGCATATAGTTGCGTGCCAGGTAAGAGTCAAACTCCACTGACGCGCTACCGAGAAATGAATGTACACTGCCTGCCTGATCGCATTTCATTGATAAGGAGTGTCCCCAGCCATAGATACCTGGTAGCATCAAGGAAAGCTCATCACTTGCTCAGAAGTTCTCGCCAAGACGAGGAGCGCCACCCTTCCAGTCGTTACGTTCATAGTAGCGGAAGACCAGATCGTAGCCATCGAGATCATGAACAATACGGTCAACACGCCGGTAGCCCTTGATCGAATCCATACGAGTGTTGCGCTTGGAGGCCTTCTGTTCCATTGCGCGAATCATGGCAACGGTACTATCATCGGCGACGCTCAACTCCTCATAGTTTGTCTTGGCTTCGAATAAAGTGACCGAGAAACGACCTGGCTTGAAGATGTCGACAGCGTGTTGGACGATCTCCTGAGTATCACGGCCGCTCTGCCCACATGGCACATTGGTCTCGAAAGATGCGTACGAACAGACAGGCTCCGGAGTGACGTGAACGGTGAAGTAATGGGTACCCTTGTTGCCAATAGCCGCGGGGATAACTCCATTGGCGGAGAAGCCGCATGGCTCAAATTGATAGGCGTCGATGCGAGCTTCCGGGTACTTGCTCTTGGGGTATATGTCAGACAAACCGCAAACGTCGGAAACGATGGTGCCCAAAGCGTGTCCCTCGGAAGCCAAAGCATTGGTGCTGTTTGCTTCGCTAGCGTCCGAAGCGTTGCTGAACACGTCCACGGTATCGTCCATTTCCATGTTGGCGTTCTTGTACCTCTCAGCCGCGACCGCACTCGCGTTTTCGAGGTAGAACTGCTTGGCGTTATCCTCGTCAAGGTCTGTCATCAGGACTTCCAGAGTCTCATCTTCTCCCTCGCACACCTTGGCCGCACGATCTGTAACAAGCGAAGACGGCAGATCGATGACTTTCGTTTCGGTACCGGGGCTGTCCATACTCTGGGGACTGGCCGGAGGAGTGAGCATGGTGAATGGTTCGGTGAGGTACAGATACCAGTGGTCACCATTCATTTTGCCAATCATGTAGGCGCTGCCATGAAGGAACAACTTGTCGAGAGTGTGGACCTCGTCCCTCCAGCTGCGATGAGGACCCTTCTGGCGATCAGGGAACAAGAAGTTCTTGCGGCTGTAAAAGACGCGATAGGGAGCAGCAGCAACCAGAATTCCCGGATTGGGGGGTGCGGTGTTGCGAGGAAAGCCGCCGAACAATGTGGCAATCTCTAAGATGCGTGGCAAGCCACACAGCAAGGTGGTGGTCCCACATGTCTTCAAGATGAGCTTATGGGGAAAGACGAACATGCTTGATTCCGACAGGAGGTAAGCATCGACATCCTCGCTTTCGACGATTGACAGAACCTGGCAGTGGACAAGATCGAGCATGGTCTTCCAGACCTCGGCTGGGACAGCCTTCAGGCCCTTAGGCTCAGTGCAATCGAGTAGGTCATTTGGCGAGGGCGCGAACCAGACCTCAAGCAATTTCTCGGGGCCTACAGTACAATTAGCTTTGCGGGATACTTGCTCGGCATGGCAACTGACCTTCAAAGGCATTGCTCGAATCTAGATCGGTGATAGCCTCATGATTGATGGAGCGGCTGGTCAAAGACGCCGACGCGTGCAAATCCGTAGGAGACGCAGTATAGTTCTTGGGAATCCCAATGTTTACCATATCCTCGTTCCGGGTTGGCCGAAAAGAGGACGTGCGATTAGATGGGGTTGTTGACTGGTAGTCTGCGGCTTGTAGAGGCACTGATCACGAATGATTCAGTGAAGCACTATCTGCCGCCCAGACGAACAATGCGGTGTTCGCCTGAGTAGAGAAGGCCCACTATCTGTGGCTTTTGTGGAGGCTGGCTTTTGCCAGCAGCAATGTGGTATGGGTTGGCTGACCTTTCGGGGGTCGTGTTAAGGAGGTCGGGTGGAGGAGAGGAGGAAGAAGATCTCCTGCACGAACGGAATTGTGGGCGGTCTTTAATGGTCTTTCAAATCAAACGTCGACGCTGTCACGCAGCACAAGTGACAATGCTCTTTCAAATGGTGTGATTCTTCTGGTTGGCGAGAGTAGAACGGAGTAGGTGTTATCTGGGCCTGGGACAGTTAGACTAACCTCAACAGCAAACTGAGAAGGCCTAGAACATCTCGGAGGATCTGAAAGTGATGAGAAGCCTGGAGTGGACTCACTTTGCGGGCTTGGACAGGAAGCGCAGCAAATCCTTTGGGCTCATAGAGGACTGAGGATCGAATACCGAAGCCAGAAAGCGGCTTTACAGCCTATGGGTCTCGCGGTGCGCCAGACTCGCTGATTTCGCTTGTAGCGATGGTGAAATGGAAACGGTCGTGAAAGTGAATTTTGGACGGATGCAATGTGTGACTGAAGTCTCAGCTCCGACTAGGATCTGGACTGGACGAGGGCAAAACCCTGAGGCGGGGGTATGCGCCAACAACGAGCTCGTGAAATGCCTGTAACCGGCGGCTAGGTATACCTTGGGAAGTGTAGACAATGGAGAGATTCGAATCTACAACCAGACGAAATTGAAGAGCTGGGTCATGAATTGTAACTGTGTGGGCTACTTGCTGGAGCGATCTGCGACGTAATTATGCGAGATTTTTTTGGGACTGCCACGCCTGCAAGTCCTACGCCGCCCAAATCTCGGCAGCCGCCGCCGCCCCTCCAAACAGTCAGCCCGGGCTGCATAACTAACGTCCCGCCGTGGGGTACTCCTGCAGCCTGCTAGATTTTGCGCTTGTCAAGAAATGACTCGTCTTTTGGGATTGGTGCCCACGGTTCTGAATTCGGTGCAGTCCGCTTCATCTGCCACAGCAACTTCTGCAGGTACAGACACCGGGGCGCTGTCTTCTTGCCTCAGTATCCCTCACCACGACACGGGGGCTTAGGAAAGTGGCTTAGTCGCGCACCTTGGTGATTATTCTGCAGATCGATCATCGCCGATTCACTGCCTGAGAATCTTGGCAACCATGCAGTGTAATCGAGATGCCCACTAGAGTACACGAGCAAGGACGATTAATCATTCATCTTGATTCTGCTTCGAACAATAATTACTAGCATGTACTCTTGTTGCTATGCCCTAAATTATTACCTCTTGAGAGCCTGCACGACCTTGTGATGCGCCTTGGAACTCGACTTCGGGCAGCTGCTCGTCCTGCGTCTCTGGAATTTCAGCAGACTGCTCCCTCGCGTCTGGTTTCGCTCCTTCGAATGGCCCCTGTTGTCCTTCACCATGATCGGAGTTCCAGCTTGGGAGGCTAAGCCGGTCATTGGAGGCAGCCCTTTCGTAAGGCGCATCACTGTTCATGAAGTCGGTGTTGACACTGGCAGCTCTGAGTTGTCGTTCAGCCAATTCGGAATCTCTTGCTTGACGTAGAGCCGCAGCTAGTTCTTTGGGGCTTTTGTGGTTTGCAAAATCCAATGACTTTCGCCGGTGCCTCTTTGCGCTCCGCACGCTAGGCGGCGACTCGTTATCATCCTCAATCAGAATGGCATTAGGCTCGATGTGTTGTCCGGACACATCCTCATGACGGCGCTTCAAAGCCGCAGGCGTTGCAGGCCGGACCTCGTTAGTAGTGCGCGAAGGGACCATCCAGGGCGTGTCGATCTTTTCTTTTCGGGTTTCATCTGCCGGTCTCGTCTGGCCTTCTCGAGCATTGTCGGAACGTGTTGCGGACTCGGCCTTCTCTGCTGGAGGGCTGTTGGGGATCACCTCGGGTTCCGCGATGCGCATATCAACCATGATGCTGCCCAGTTCTGGAATGAGCTTTCTGGCCTCTTCTCCCTCCTGCTCGCGGTGAAGTTCCAGTATGAGGGCTCGTAACCGGCTTCGAAGTTCGTTGCTATGAATTGGCTTCGGCCACAGTAAACTTCCACGCTGGAGTACTGCTCGTACAAAGCCGTCTGGATCACGCATGAACTGTTCAAGATACATGCAAACATAGAGGCCGCAATCGCTGAAATTGCCCTGCGTGGGTATTTCTTTGGCAGTCATAGCAGGAATTTTTTTGTCGTCGATATCAAGGCCGTGTTTGTTTTTGCCCTCTTGGACAATATACTGCTTCAAAAATGAGCAGCTTTGACTTCTGGGTTGGCCAAGCGAGTCGAGGCTGATGATCACAGGTGACTTGAGATTGTACTTCGGTAAAGATTGACGCTTCCTTTTCTTGCCCTTCTTGCCGGATCTATTCAGTGGGCTTGTTGAATGAGACCCGAATTGAGGTTCTTTGTCTTCGATACTGAGCTCTTCGAAGGACTTCTGAGTCTCGTTTGTGGCCTGGTTGGTACCATCTGAGCCAGGCCCGCCTGCAGTAGCCAAGGAGTCTTCTGCGCCGTTGTCCTCATGCCCTCCATCATCCGCTGTCCTCTTAAGGTGTGGAAGGTTGCAGATAATGGCCACAAACCAATGTAGGTGCTCGTTCATGGGTACAATGACAAAGTCACGCGTGAAGAGATCAACAGCCTTAGTCCATTTCGATACTGACTGATAGTTGATATCCTTCCTTGACCTGGCACCTTTTGTAAGGTTGTCGAAGAAATAAGAATTGAAAAAATGCATCTTTTTCATGAGCTCTGGGCGAGTCTGCTCAACTTGATACTGTAAATATCGCAGAAAGAACCCGATAAGAGTATCATTTAGAAACTCATCGTCGTCTAGGCGCTCGAGACTCCCGAAGTCTACCGTCTCACGCTTCTTCCCCGAGGGAGGGTAGACTAAAGCATTCTCCCAAGGAGTACCAAGACCGCCAGTTTTCGAGAATTTGATTTTCGGAGGAGATGGCGTCCTGGGCTTTGGTGGTGCGGCTCTTCGGGAAGCTCTAGTTGTTCGACTTGTTGCAGGTTGCTCGACCAATTCCTCTGTCGCGTCTGGCTCCAATTCATGGCGATTATCTGAGTCGACAACACGACGCAAATTCTGAGTACGAGTTTCTGGTCGGCTGACAGATTGACCACTCCGCTCCGCTCCAGTGATCACGGTAGGGCTTGCATGCTTAGCCTGGCTTCTAGGTAGATCTCGGTGATCCGTAGTGCGCTGGCGTCGTATAGGATTGTCGCTTCGCTTGAAGTGATGAGAGATATCGGTCGACTCCGAAGGTTTGTGTTGATGCGCTGTACCAGACGTATCCATTTCGTCAATAGCACGAGCGCGCTTCTCGAAAAGACGTTCCATCCAGTGATCTTCTTTCAGTACAACATCGTCTATTTCTTGTATTTTCTGGAGTGCCTTGAGTAGATCATAGGCACTTTTGTCGGACTCGAGCCGAAGCGTATATGCATCCGATACTTTGTCCAGACTGCCACGGAATTTGAGATGGAGCAAACCGGTGGTGTCCGAGTGATATGCCTGGCAAATACTAGAGACGTCACGGGGCGTCATCAACGACTCGTTCTGCAATCGTGAGTGTCTGGGCATGATATAGAAGTCCTTCTTTTCGGGATCCACCCAGAACTCATAATAATCTGGAGTATTGATCAGTCCATGAGCCAAAATCTCTTTTAGAGCAAAGGCCTCTGGTGGCGCTCTTAGGTATTTCTTGGCCTTCGGGCGAACCAGTTTGCTGCTGTCAGAGTTCCCAAGTATCTTGTCTGCCAATCGCGTATTCGGAGTCAAACGCTGCAGATCACTTCGAAGAGGTGTTGGCGGTTTAATGGGCCTATGGGGCAAGTCAGGCTCATCTTCTTGCAAAGCATCTGGACTGCTTGACGGAACATCGACGTGTTTCGCGCCGAAGAACCGTGCAGTCAACGCCGGACTTCCTGGTTGCCGCTTCGTAGGCCGATTAGGCTTGTCCTGCAGCGTCTCCGGTGCTTCATCCGAATGAGTAGACGTGGTTTTGCGCTGCCGCTTGGACTGCTGCAGAAAATAGGCGCCTTCGTCTCCTTCGCTTATTCCTGCGTATGCTCTCGCATGGGTGAGGGGACCGTTGCTAGACTCTCGCAAACTCCGCTTGATATTGCGCGCTCCAAAATTGACTGCACCATCATCGAGAGTATGGGATGAGCGGGGATGTCGTGCGTTACCAGCGCTCATGTGCGGGTCATCAAGAATGCTCTCTATTGAGCCGTGTACCTCCCTCGACTGAAGGCTCTTCTCGTGGTGCCGAAACTGTAGGGGAGTGTTTCCATCGTGGCTGTCATCTAGGCTGATGGCATACGACTTGCTGCGGCCCTCTCGATTAGGTGTGGGGGTTTTTGATCTGGCTAGAGAGGCTGCAGGGCTTTGCTGTGTCGCACTTGTGTCGAGTTTAAGTCTTTTGTTTGGATGTGTGTGCTCATTGCCATAGGAGTCGGTGGAGGCCGTAAAGGCTTTCGTGGGTGCGGCAATGCTCCCTCTATGGTCACTGAAGTATCGGCTTCTGGTACTCTCAGAGCTCTTGGGTCCCGTGGTCGTGTTCATGGGCTTCAAGCCGCCCGGGATCTATTCACGGTCAGCGGTCTTCTCGGGTAACGTCTGCAGCAGCTGACATTTGGCTTCTTCCGCGTCATGGCCTCTTTCATGGGATCTGCA